ACTTCACTGGAGTCAGTCTCTTCCGTAAACTTCACAAGCAATGTCCCCATGTCAGCGGAGGTTGCCCTCCTTATAAATATATGCTGGTAGCTAACAGTGTGAAAGAGCTGCGCTACACGTGTTTCGTTGTACAGCTCTTCTAGACATATTTATAACCTTGATTTTCCAGCGATTGCGCATTATTCAGTGGGCTGCCACCCTGTATCCCAGTAATTTAATTGGAGAGGTGCCAAGAATACACTTCCTACACTAGAAAAAGATGTAGTGTGCCCGGAAAATTCCCAACACTCTGTCCACCAGTCTGACGTGAAAATTTCGTCGCGCTGTGTACCAGACCTCTGTCCAGGTAGATGCTTATTCCATTCTTCATGGGTCGTGGGAGCATTATAGGCTATTACTCGAACGCCCCTGGAGATCCTAGCAAGCCAAACACATGGCCTCGAAGTTGCATTGGCGCATGCAGATACCGAATGTAGTCATATTCCGTACTGGTTCTCTGGTACCCGGAGTGTTAGATCAGCATATTTATAGGCATAAGAAATCTTTGCACTGCATAGCATGCCCAAAACCTCTTAAAGCATGAGTAACGGGTATTGGGGCGGGGGTGTGGGGGCGGACGTTGTCAAGGCGTTTAGTTCCTAATGAATTCTACAAGGTATTGCCTCTTGCCCAACGCGCCATTTTTTCTTTGTGATTATCGTGGGTAGTGCGGCTAAAGCAGACAAAGCGTGACTTAATAAGTTCCCCAGCTCCTGCACTACCATCCTCCGCAACCCAAGCTGTTCCCGACTGAGCCGGTAGTTCGCCCCTTCACTTGGCATCTTGTAGGGCATCAGTGCGGCGATGATCCTGGTGACTGTTGCATGTGACAGGACAGGCCAATGCGTAAAAACAAGTGACGCTAGAGATACAGCTCTTGTTCGCCGCGTTTTTCGACGGGCGTCTTGTACCCAATTGCCATTCTGCAAAGAAACGGTGGGTCGCCTCACTGGCCGGCGTTACCGCTCAGTGTCACGCAGTCTCTCTCTTCTGCTAAGAGTCATAGGTGCTTTGTCTTAGCGCACTTTTCGCTTCTTTTGGTGCTTTGAGGCCAGCTTCACAGGTATGTGAACCACCATCATCTACCTCGGTAGAATCATTCCAGATGGCAGCGGCAACGCAAATTTCCAGCTGAGATCGTCGATCTTGTGTCCAACTCCTCCCACTGCACCTGTTGAACATCTAGTTTATTGGCAGGAGTTTTCGAATTGCTTGCAAGGCCTTGTACCTCTTCGATGCCTGGCGTACAAGAATCACTGCCTGCGGCGGCCATCCGTTGAGCGTCCTCCGCCATCTGGCGGTGTCCTGCTACTGCTTTGTCCTCTGCTTCTTTCACGCCTTGTTTGACATCGGCTGCTGCGTGGCGTGTTGCGCTGTTCGTGAACTTTGTCGCCCTCTTGCTTTTGACTATTGGTCCTGTGCATGTAGTGCGCTTCCGCTCTATCGGCTTCCACTTTTTCCTCATCATGGAAAAAAAATTATTTTTCCTCATGAGTGGTCCTGGCTTTTGGTAGTATATTCCTGCCGACGCATGTGCTCTTCATTAGTGATCTAACTTGTTCGACGAAGCGCACACTAAGATCATCAGTGATTCTCTCCACCAAGTTTAAGCCTATCTATATCGGACGTTGTACCCCGTTTCCCTTTTTTCGACCCTTCTCTGCCCTGTACGATGCTGGTCTAAATCGTATTTCCAGATTGCTCCGACAAATTTTAAGATCTCAAGGTCCCGTCTGAAACAGCATGTCAGTCGATGATTACGACGATTCTGTCGAGAGCATATTTTCTACCTTCCACGCAGCATGGGCTTCCTTCTGTCCCGCTACTTTGAGCTGAGCTCATCAGTTCTTGTAGCGTAGCTTAATACGGATAACGGACTTGCCCCTTCCGCGTCAATAGGGTGACATACTTGCTTTTTTCTGCACAAATGGGCTAGTGTTTTCTCTTATCCCGTGGCTGAGTCTATCGTCTGCGTCATCAATGTGTTCTGAGGTAAGCTGAACGTTGCTTTTTCCTGTGTCATCTGGGCTGCCAATTGTGCCATGCACGCCGGTAACATCTTGTAGCCTTGGCTACTTCTGCGCTAAGAGAACGACGTGCTGACCCCTAAGAAGGATCTCTCTGTAGCCATGTCGCTAAGCTCCTCCTTTCAATATTTCATTCGTCTAGGCTTGCTGACATGCGAGCCGCATGCGCCTTGGCAGTTAGCTGGCTCGGTTTTGCTTGGCCTGTAGGCTCAAAACTGGGGGCCTTCTTCCTCGATAATTATTTCGGCAACAGTGTTGCCACTTGCCCCAATGTACCGCATCTGTGGCACTGATCGTCATTATTCTTTGTGACAAAGTTTCCAGTCAGGCCTTCCCGGGGCTGTACTCGGATCCGTCGTACCTGAACCACCTTGTCCAGTTCCATCATCGAGAGCTGATCCCCTACTCGATTCTTCCTGGACTAGCAACCCTGGCAGCCCCTTGCTAAAGCTTTCGTTTTCTAGTAGACTCACCCAGTCACGACCAGGCTCCAACCTTTGCTTGCCGGTACTTCTGTAGTATTTTCCACCTTCGGCATTCGGTACACGTCAGCCTTCTCAGGATGGTTTGGACTTACCCTGAACCTCTCCCGAGTCTTTCCGCTGAGATCTAATCCTATATCGGATATTCTCTAACAATTTCATAGCCTTCGGCTCAATGCGTCTTACTTATCTCCAACCATGAATCGGATTTTTGTGATAGTGCACCCCTCCCCATGTGAGCAAGGCGTAATACTAACGGCTGTTAAAGTAAATCCTCCAAGGCCGCGATGCCCCGCAGGATAAAGCGTTGAACGATTTTCAACGTGCCTGGCACTATACTTACCGCTGGGCGCTGTGTCTTGCGATACTACATAAAGGCGTTGATCTTTAGGAAGGCAGAGATGTAAGCGCGCCGCTCCTCTTAAGTAAGATCAGGTGCATTGTAGTACTGCTACACCTGCTTTAGCTACTCCCTCGGATTAGCGGGGGGAAAACATAGCTGGAGACTTACAACACGTTTTTATGCTCCCTTATTTACTATTAAGAGATGCCAAACAGTCGTCGATAGGTGTCGATGCCACCTCCATCACCTTTTGGATAGATCTGACACCTTTCGCATCCGGCCTCCTGCCCTGTCATTCAATGACTTTCTGAGCGTCGAGGTACTCTCCACTTGGCAGCTTTATGGTCTTATGTGCAATGTTCTTAGTGAACTTCCTGCATCTGGTGTTAGCATGGCTGCTGGGTCAACCGCAGCATGCTGGGCGGGCGTTCTAGAGGGCCGTTTCCTGGTATTGGCCCTCGCGAAGCTATATTATTGATGCTCGCCGTTGACCACTTTGTTTGCGAATGCTCTGTTATCAGTGGTGGCGGCTGCTTTTAGCTAGCCAATATGCCCCTCCCGCCATACGCGCTTTCGTATCGGGCGGCAGTTGTGGGTAGTCGTCAGCTAACTTTGCTGACTCTTTGTCTGCCATACTGTGTTGTAAATGCAAAAACCAATATGAATTCTATTGTAGCCGCGGGAAAGGGGGTCATGAGTGCGTTCGTGCGTAGGCCGTTCTATGGGCTGCGGCGTGGAGTCAAGCCTTGGGCTCACTCGGCAATGCACTATGGAAGATAGTGGTGGGTTTTCCAGTACTTCTGCTAGCTTTACAGCAGCAGAAAACAAGGTACTAGCCACAAATTCCCTGCCTGGCCATAGTCCACTTCTCGCTTTTCGCCATCTTCCCAGGCTCATCACCGCGCAGGAGCAATGTGAGACCACCAAAGGTCTTTTTCTTGCACCACAACTGTGAAAGCTCCATTAAGTAATCTCTAGGAGGCAGGGGTGTAGGCTCCAAGGATTATCAAGCTACGAAGTATGAGTTCTCAGGTAGCTTTTTTCCGCCCTGTTTTGTAATCTCGAGATCAGGCAATCAATAACAACCTGTTTTAGGAATTAGGCTTATTGACCAAACCCCCTGACTCCCTCAGCATCTTCACCATGGTCTATTAGCAAGGGGCTCCAATCCTGACCAATTGTGCACCTGCTGAGATTTCAGACTCGATACTATTCTAAACTTCCTAAGATCCCTTGCAGCGCCTCATTACTACCATTTTTTTGTTGAAAAATGCAAATGAATAATCAGAAAAGCTACCCTTGGAATTAATCGCTTTCCAAACTTTTACGGTCACTGGACCTACTGCTGCGCGGCTGTGAGTTACGCTCCAGTGCGAAAAAATCAGTCTTCGCCATTATAATTGCTGCAATCCTTTGACAGATCACTAACCCCAGTGCAAAGTAAACACTTACAGACGGATAGGTCGTCAAAAATGCCCTTAACGTGAAGTGCTGCATTGAAGCCAAGTAGGCAACCCTGGTGAATAGCCTCCGTATTCGCCCATTGTGCACCAGTGCCACTTCAGGCGCAAGCACCTAGCTGGAAAAATAATTTGGCTATGTGCTTACTCTTCATCAGCTCCCATAGCTGAGTTCGATTCCCTTGTTTAGCTTACTACGGAAGAATAACGTGCAGTCATAAGAAATTCTGGAATAAGAACCTTTCCATCATTTATTTTTTACATGCAAAATCTCATAACATAGATGATCACTCGTTCGCACTACACCTTTAAAGGGGCTGAGGGGTGTACTAGATTGTGGGCGTATACGGGTTGTAGTCCTTTAAGTTTCAGTTCTTGGAGTGTGCTTAAACTGCGAAGATAACAGTTGGACGCGAGATTGTAAAGCTAGTTTTACTGTTTGTAAGCATAGCAAAAGTCTAAGATGATTGCGCACTGCAGTGTTATGTAAGGGGATTGAACTATTTTCGAAAATTGCTGGTGGCTTCCTCAGATATGAGGCATTTGGTTCCGGATACGCCAAATTAAAATTATTCCCACCAGTAGGCGCCATCGAAAGAGACCATGACAGGTTGTTGGCACATTAATGTTTTTAGCCATGTGGAAGGTATCAGATTATTTTGCTGCACTCTATGGAGTTGAAATTGGGCATTACTACCTCAACAGCCTCGCTAGATGGAACTGCGTGAGCGGTGCGCCCAACGTAGTCAAGGACAGCCCAGCCCTCGCCCGCAAGTAGCTTACAAGCCTGTTGAGCCATTTTTTCCACCTCACCTGCGCTGGTATACAGAGAGGCATAAGTGTGAGCTTGGGACAGGGTATACCCTGGAGTTACCATAATACTACTCTTCATTTCATATCCAAACTTCATTCCATTCACTGAACGCAGCGCCACCACATGGCTACAAGCTACATACTACTTTCGAGGATAGGTGTGATTTAGGGTTTTCCTGCTGCTTAGTTGTCATGAACACCTCGAATAAGCCGCTCAAAAAAGAGCATTAGACCATTTGTACTTACGTGCTGGTGAGTTAGTGTATGATTTGTGCCCAGTGATAGCCACCGGGTGAAGGAATAACTCGTTAATATAGACGGTATTCTTGAGAACGCAGTTTGCCTCGGAACGCCCGTCGATGTAGAATGTATACACCTGGCATTTCTTTGTATTTGTACACAAGGTTCTGCACTCTGAAACGTCTTGAGTTCTATCAGTTACGCCAGAAAGGTACGGGGTCTTGCTGTCAACACCTATATACAGACCTTGGGTCATTGAAACTTTGGAAATTGCACTTTGAAATAACTGCAAGAAGGAGCCGTGGGCCGCCTGATATTTTAAACTCATAGCTTTTGACTTGCTGATTTCGCAAGCAGAGCCTTTCCCGTAGCAGTTACCGTCCTTATTTGAAGTCAGTTCTTCTATAGCACTGCTGCTGGTGCCAAGAGTTGCAGTAGACAAGAATAACCACGGAAACTGCCTTACTGAGCATAATAAACCCACCGCAATTTACCTATTATGCCTTGTCGTATATCGCGATACGAAAAAACCGCTGCATTACACCTTCATCGCTCCCATCAGTCGGGTCGTGCACTCAGGCTGGTATTCGCAAGGAGGTGATCCTACCGACCTACGTGAGGAATTGCACACTTTAAGAATGGGAATATACTTGCTAATGTATCCCAAAGATAACGTGAACGACGTGTTTATGGATACGTAAAGCAGCCATGTGACTAGTATACTTAACCTCCCATGAGGGCTAATATGGTTAGCTGGGATTCAAGGAAGTAAGGAGGCCTTAGAATGACAGCAGTAATAGAGTAGTTTTGTTTCGGCTTCTGCCCAATCTCTAGCTGCTAAGTTGACCCGTGCTTTCTCCCTTTCCTCACAAGGAACTCCCCGGACCTGTCAATGGTTTTGTTTCGTCTGCATACCAGCTTCCAATGTCAGAGTGTAGCACTAAGGCATTTTTCCTTACCTAGGGTGGTGGAACACCCTGAAGATCGCTGTACTCGCTCGTTCCGTCTTTCCGCATATGTGATGGTCGAGCAAACGGGGGGTCCCACAATGGTTCCCATCGACTCAAGGGCTCTACTAATGCCCTGTCCTCCTTCAAGATGTGACACTTCATCTCCTTCAAGAGGGGAAAAATACAAGGAAAACCCAATAGGAAGACCGTTGCGCCGTTGAAGGGTGACACCAGTTTTCCATGAGCGGCATTGTTTCGTGAGGATATGCCATTCCCACAAGACACACCCCTCAGAATACTTCTGGCAGTGACTCTGGCACTCTTCTGGTGTATGTACAGTGGTGGCAGGCATCAGCAATGCTGAAGGTTTGTTGTGGAGCTCTGAGCTCGGGTAATTCTCCGTCTCAGAGACAGTCCAGCCATCTGAGAAACAGGAATTGCCTCCAGTGATTACTGAGTCAACAAAAGGACAAAGAGCAAGGTCACTTGCTTAAAAGAGGTATTGTACAATAGGCCGGATAAGAGCCAGAAAGTCGCCTGAGAATCCTTGTCCAAGTTTCCTACGCATTGTATGCTGCTTTCATAATCAAGCATTAAGTAATATACCTGTGCAATGCCAGGGCTTTCCTGCCTACTCTGCCCAAGGCGTATATTATTGCACAGGTGGAATTAAATGACATACACTCTATGGCCGTTTCACAGTCCTTTGTTGCTGAGATGGTGCCTTCTTGCTTGCGGATAAGGATTTTGGATGTGGGGTTGTCCCGTCGAAGAGTGCAAAAGTTCTTCACACCGTCGAAGGACCAATGTGTACAAGAAGAAACAGACTCGCACACGTTTGAGCAAGCTTCCACTGAGTCAGCTTTTAAAAGATATATTTTCTTTCCTTTGCCTAGGGTGAAGCCACGTAAGTGACACCATCCCCAACATGCTTGTGGCGTCAGGTGTGCCGCAAAGAAAGCGAACATAGCGACGAAAAAGCCATATTTTAGCATTTTGGGTGTAGACTACTGGACATCTGATAATTAAGGAAGGACACTGTCTAGTCTTCAAATACATTGCAACGAGTATGGCAAGGAGGCGTATAAATGATAGCGCGGTAGCAGTTGCGATACGTGATGCTGTTTTCCTGGAGATCGCTAGATTCAAGACATCACTTGCATGCTGATGTCAATGAAGTCCATTATTCGGTATCAAATGCTTCCTATCATTGTTAAAGGTGCCTGTGTGGTACCGGCAGCTCGGCTGGTGTAAGGACCTGTAGCGTATGGTTGTGCAGTTCTCACCACAAGTCCTCTTTTGCTTAAATACACGACATATGGGCATTTAAGGAAGAAACTCGACTCTTAAAATGTTGATAAACGTGGAAAGTGACGGCGCCCTCTCCGCACGCGTGCCACGGCCATCTGCACGGGGGCCCTCAGCTGGCCTGTGTTTGGAGCATGTATCACGTAGAAGAGAAGACCAACGCACAATGAAAGAGCCTCTGATTGAGCATAAATCTGTATCCTTGAAGTGTGTTGAGTTTAGAGTCGTTATTTAATACAGATGTGTGATATATCCCCCCGTCAATGTGTGCATGTAGCGGCTGGGTGCGACGGCTTATTTTTAGACGAAGCTATAGCGAGGCGCCACCAGTGAACAAACAAGCAACAATCAGTGAAAACATTCAATGAAACTCCAGAAATTTAGCAGCTTCAAATGGTGAAATAATGCATACAAGCTTTTTGCCAATGTACTACAGACGCCCGCTGCGATCCATCGAAGGCATTTTGTTTGGGCGCTCATTCAAGGGATACTTTATGGCAATGTGTTTTTGCATCGAATGCAATATCACATCTAGTGAATCCACGCTGAGCAGTTCTATTACTGAACCTCCTGGAACAAATGAGCTCTTTGACATGTACTGGCTGTAAACAACAGGAATTAAGGACAGTAGCACTTGGATAATGGAAAGAAAACGTATATTAACACAAAAGAGCATTGTTGCTGTTTAGCTAGCGAAGACCCTAAACCCTCAGTATTCTTGAGCTAATGCCGCTGATGTTAGAAAAACCATTAACATTTTTAAATGCAATAACAAGCTATGTCAACAATAATGGGCAATGGTGTCAGGTCTTGAGGGGGGTTTTAACACATACGATGCCTGCCGGAAGTGTCGAACTTCATTCTGTCGGTACTTTAGTCTGCATGTTCAAGTTTACCATAGCCAAGACACGCATATGTGCCGGTATGAATAGTGGAATGGAGTTGAAAGGAATTAGGAAGAAATGTAGCGAGTGTCCTAAGCTGTCAAGCATTTGACGGCTGAGGAAAGGGCCACCCGCGCAATGTGACGTTTGTTGCACAGCATGCTATTCGCGAGCTTCGGAATATTATTAGTGTGGCATTTTTATAGACATTCGATACCAATAGTTGCTATGTTTATAGGGTTCACGATGCCTATAGTAAATTCATATACAAGCACTTCCCCAGGCACCGCGTGCCATGAGTTACGCAGTATTTGTGAACAATTCTAATGAGCAATGAGGAAAGCTCAGCTCTTCAGCACTGTTTTGATAAAGCGATAGAATTTAAACATGATAACGATAGAACTTAAACATGATATTTTGGGCATATCAATGCTGATCCGCCTGCTGACGCTGTATTGCATGTTTGTGTAATTACTCTTGCCACTTGAAATTTCACACCACGTTACGAATTCACTTAGTTGCTACTTGTGATCTGGTGCAAAAACGCTTTTTGGTTGAGTAGCTGAGATTCAAATTGGGGTTGCAAGCTTTCAAAAAACGTTACTGTTGCTAGATCCCGCGTGCTGGAGGCTACCAGACAAGCCGTAGTACACAGCAGGTTGTGAAATGCATGGATACGCCTAGGCCTATTGGCCAACACAAAATATCACCTTATTCGCAGTAGGTCCAATAAGGCTAAGAGAGCGAGCTAAGTGTAGCCATAAGCTCTATTAGCTTTGACCCCCCGACACTGGTTAAGCTACAGCAAAGCCAGCGTAAAATGACCGTAGATAAACTTTGAGCCCAAGAAGCTGCCAGGAATACTTCACCACCTTAAGTTCCTTGCGGACATGGCGTATGAGATAAGACGTAACATAAGCATGAGGCTTAGCGTCGTAGGAGTGCAGGAGCCAATGGCATTTAGTCCTGACTGCCCCCTCCCTGACGTGCATTTAAATATGGCAGGTCTGGACTTGTCCGGCTAGCCGTTAACCCCTTACATACTGTGTTCTTCCAACAACTCACAGTTGTGGCTCCAATTGTATTCTGACAATAAGCCACGTGGGAAGTAAGACAAGAACGAATCACAAAATGGCGTTGCTTGCTGTTTGCTGAGCTGTTACAATTAATGCTGCTCTAATCCAAGCACCCATTCCCACCATTCATGTTCCCACTTATTTCCTGGTCCTTAGGTTTACGGACTTAAAGGGCACGTAATCGGCAGAAAATCTAGAGTATTTTCCTTCGCATATTTAGCACAGGAAATAGTTTGACAGAAGTCAAAACACTTTGGAGGCTGACGAGTCCCAAAAAAAGTGCTGTTGCTCCATCCAGCTTCTAATTGTCGAAAATCTGCTTGCTGGACCCTCTGACTTCCGTACACATTGACTCGGAGCCGCCTTTTCCTCTTGCATTGCCGAATACTGCTGCACGGTGCACAAGTTAAGTGCGCCAGCCTGCAGTAGCCATATTAGGCTCCACTGGAGAAATAGGTGCCGAAATGTTGTCAAGTCATAAACATGTAGCAAAGCTAATTACATGGTGAGGCCCCTGCGAAGTTACGTGCGAGAATCGATATATCTACGCTGAATAGCGTTCAGGCGGACGGAAGAATGAGATATCTGCAATCAAATGCATGCCACATACAAGGAAAAAGAACGTCAGTCAGAAAAACAGACGGAATTAAGGTAGACCTTGTTTTGGAGAGCAAGCATGCAAATGAGACTAATTACCGCTTAGCACACGCTTTAAAGCCTCAATAGCTGGACTGCTCTTGAGAGTGCGCGCATGCCGCTATATGGATGACAGGGAGGAAGGGCTTTCGGATCTATGCATAAACAGTAGAACATCGTCACTCATTCACACACCTCTTGAAGGCACTTCGATAGACATGCTGCTTGGTTTTCCGGGTTCCCTGGCTGGCCCTCATCAAATTTGGATATCTCTAGAGTGCTGCCTTCAGGCATCAGGCCACGAATGAGGGTCTCGACTTGTTTCATGCTCTGTGCTAGCGTCGACCTACATAACCAGGCAGGCACATCACGCAAACCCTTCGTGTTACTTCCTAAAAGTTTAGTATATGTGTATTGTGTACTAATCAACGACTTAACTCTGCAAAGTGTTGTAGATACAGCTCGGATCAATAGTGAGGAAAGAACTGCATCAATGTAACTGGACACCCAGACAGCGAAAGCTTTGCGACTTGCCGCATGCGAGCGTATCTCCTGAAGAACTCTTTTTCCGACAACTCGTGTAGCTTTCCCGACCCTGAATCGACATTGGTAGAAGGTCGCAGATGTTGTCTCGCCTTTGCTAGCCATTGTTGAGAGAACTTCAGCGCTACCTGTACTTCCACACACACAGAAAAACACACAAACCCTTGTGGCAAGGTCATACACTAGAAAGGAAGCACTTTCCGAGGCCTTCAAGGCTGAACTGACATAAAGGACTTGGTCGGCGATACTACGGCGCAAGAGAATACGAGGGCAAGAATGCGCCTTCACTTCCGAAGGGCACCGGTTTGAAAAAATGTGGCTTAAAAGGCTCGCCTGGTGTGTTTTTGCCCGACTAAACAAAAATTGCTGCCGATGAAGCTGCTGACTTAGCAAGTGCTCTTGTTGTTCCATCGCATCTTTGGCCAAAGCTTTCTGGTCCTTGACTGCTTCGCTGAGTATGCGCCTTCTTCTTTGTTCAACCCGCTTTAGGAGTTTGCCATGGTGTGTTGCTTTCTGACGTAATTTATCTGCATGAAGAGCGTGCTGCAACTGGCGCATGTCAGCGGCAAGGTCGTTCATCATTTGTTCATGCCTAGTGTGTTTGTGCGACCCGAGATTCTCTCCGGCGTCCCCGTCTTGCGCATTGTCCATCAAGTTGCCTGCGGCTGTAAGCATCATTTTTCTTTCCTTGAATCCTGCTTCCACCAGGTCTTGAACTTGCCTTAGCTTTGCCCACTCTTCATTCTTTAGGTCATGTAGTCTTTGTGTCCACTGGGCCTGCGCTCCAAAGATGGCACACACTGTAGTTGCTCCGGTGCAGAATCCTGTACTTGGGGATCAAAGCATTTTGGTTTAAAGGGAACGAAATAAAAGAGGGGTGAACTATTATTGAGGTTTGCTTTCCGTTATATCAGAATGGGGTTGAATTAAGGCTTCTTGTAATGACTTAAATATGCGGTACTTGAGCCCCCTTCGGGAACGTTGTTGTGAGACAGGGCTGTAGAAAGATTGAGCATTTTCATTAGTGTTCGATATAATTCCTGCATGCTTCCTATGTCTTAGATGCTGCATCACTTCATTCACTATGCATGGAGTACCTCAACCTGCTTAAGCCTTTGGTCTAGTTGACGTTTTTGTATCTTTTCCAATTCCTGAATGGCGCTCTGCGCATAAGCCTGCTCCTGTCTAAGCTCATCAAAGCGCCGCTGGGAAGCCTCTTCCAGGCGACGCCTAGCTGCAGCATATGGTGCACACACTTAGAGGTCATATCTACACCTCAAGGCTAGAGCATTGCACTCCCACCAGCCTCTATCCATTGAGTGCCTAAGACAGAAACTACTCGGAGATGCAGGAAAACGTTTGGGCTCATGTTTCTTGAAGCGAGCAATATTAGAATAACAAACCTTCTTTAGCCTCTTCCAGGTATCCCTTTGCCGACTCGCTACCCTTCGCAGCTAGTAGTCGCAGCCTTCCTGCATCCACAATGACTAGCAGATGAATTGGGGAATCCTCAGATTGCTGCGTTTTTACTTATCTGGCACAAGGGAAATGGCAGTGCAGCAGATTTGTTGCATGTGCGCTGGCTCATTCCTTGGAGAGTAAGCTAAGCAGGACTTGACACAATGGCCAAATAAAATGCATCATCGGTCTCTAATGTCTCCGAGCAGCATTAGTTTGTCTTACACTGAGCATATGCTTCTAAGGTACTATCTCACAATATGGGGCTTAGAGGAGCGTAGAGGGACTGCAGAAGAGGTGAATGGGGTGCAACTGATGCAATTGCTATTTCCTTAGCAGTGACGAATCCCAAAGCACTGCTCATAATAGCTCTCCTACCTTCAAGATTGGTCTGCCACAAGTTTTGCAGCTGATGTTTTTCTTCCAGCTGCTCATTTTGTAGCTTTCGTGACACCTCTTTCCAGTCCACGTGATGCAACTGGGGTTCAGCGTACACGGTACCAGAACACCCAACACAGAAGTGAGCAATTCATGAGCACTTTATGCTACCTGCGTGTTGGTCCTTTCTACATTGCCCATTTACGTAGTGGTCACGGGTTACAAGGATCTACTAGTTCCAAAAACTGCAGGCACATGCCTCTTCTTTGTCGCTTTGATGCGAATCTCGGTCTTGAACAAAGGCCTCGTGTGCAGCCCGCATAGCTTCCAAATGTCTTTTCTCCAGAGCCCGCAGCTGTTTCTGGTACCGCTGGTGAGAATCAGCCCAAAGTTGTCGCGCGAGCTTATCCAGCTCGTGCGGCTCCACCTCGAATTCTATCGAAAAGTCAACAAGTTCTTGGTGTAGCTCACGCTGGAGTTTTTCAAGCTTGTGCTCTCTCTGCAGTTCTAGTAAGTTGAGGTCTTGTTTCAGTTTGGCCTCGAGACGTGCTTTTTGATCAAGTAGTCGCTGGCGCCTATTCTGTATTAGCTGCCGGGTACGCTGGTCCTGGATTAGTCTCTCGCGCGTTGTTTCCTCTTCTGCTTGGCGAGCACGCTGTTCATATTGTTCAAGCAGCTGTGCATGAACTTGTCTATCTCCTTTGTCGGACAATGCATCAAGACACAGCTGCCTTTCGACTCCTGATCCGTCAGATATGCAGGCCTCCAGCGGCTTTCCAGGTGGTCCGTTGCTTTTTATCCCAGGCTGAACTTGATGGGCGGCTGCAGTAGGTAGCGAACATCTCTCAAAGGCTTGCACTAATTGATTGTCTCCGCTCTCTTCGTTCCTGACTCCTGCGTCTCCCGTCGATTTTGTGAGTATCAGTGACTCCAGTTGATCGGGCAAGCATTCAACACAAATCGAGCCGTCTTCAGCACACGGCCTGGCAGCAGACGGTAGCTCCTCGTCTATTAAGTTCGTCGCACTGACAGCTTCTTCCGTCCGCCGGCAGAGCTCATCCAGCTTTTCAAGTTCAGCTTCTACTGATTTTAGTTCCACTTCCGTGTTTCCCATGAGGGCCGCTTTATCTACGCTGAACTCAGCCTCTGCTTGGTGAATTGCCAGGTTGTACAGCAGGTCATGCACAAATTGGTTGCTCTCACTAGCTACCGGACCCCAGCGTTGCTGAAGCTACCAGACAGCATAGACACGCATACAAGATGGACCGCGGGTTATAAAAAATATTCAAAGGCTTCTCCGTCATATACAACACGGGGGCAGACTAAGGAATGCGCTGTGACGGACACTGTGTCCTTATCGCCACTACGGAGGGTTACCTGGATATATCCAGGAGGCAGTAACTAGAAGTGTATGTATGAATGACTGAAAAACATAAATACTTAGGAGGCGGAGGTCTGGGAGAAAACGGTCTGTGGGCTAGGTGGCAGTACCTCAATAATTTCGTTGGCCACATGTAACTGTTGCTTGCATCTTGCCATGTTTTGGGCTGCTTCGGACTTGGACTGGCTCTGCAAGCGGTTTTTTTGGGCTGCCTTATATTTCTGGATATCTTGCATTTTATTTGCGGCTGAGACGTTCAGCGCCCGATCCCAGCTCGAGCAGTACTCTGCTATGTCAGATTCTACAAAGGATGTGCCACGAGCCTGCACAGTGTTGATTCACACGCACATAGAAAGCCAGTTCCTGGTGATAATACTGCGCCGGCGGTAACAAGCTATTAAAAGTGATAAGAAACACAGTGAATTTCTTCAGAAGTGATAAGGAGGAAGGTGCTTGAATGTCTTTTGTTTGCACGACTCCGTATCTAGGTAGGATATTGATGCTCACAGAGATAGTGACCACAGCTGTGGCCTTAGTCTGTGAGTACTCCAACCATAGCATCATAGTTCGCGAGGTTGCGCTATGAACCTGGGTCTCGTGAAGCTCAATGGCAGATGACTCTAGTGCTTTTTCTTCGGCTACACTAGGCTGTGAATGGATTAGCTCCAGTAGTTCATTCTCCTTCGTGCCAAGCATCTTCAAGACTGTGATTTCCTCAAATAGCCGGGATTCTTCTTCATCCTGTACGCAGCATACGAACAAGTGCCAAGCTCGGGCTGCATACACTGTGCAGCAAGTAGCTGCACAGCTTTTAGTTTACCCCTACTTTGTAAATTGGAGACATGTTTGACTTTTGCGCAGGATCCCATGTGCACACATGTATTTTGCCGCGGAAAAGTGGATAAATGCTTCCGTAATAATAATTTTTACAAATGACTCCGTTGCAAGCGAAAAGAGATTCACCCGGCTTCGTCACTGCGCATCTGCCAGATCTTCGAGAAAGCAGTGTGCTTGAGGACACCAGTGTCACTGTTTTGCGGCTATAGCAGCCTCCACAGGTGGGTTTTCTCAACTGGAAGACTTACGCGTGCTCTCGCAGCACGATCCTCTTCAAACACTGCTACATCATCCAGTCGAGACTTCAATTCAGAAAAGTCGTATTGATGACGGCGATAGCCTTCCAGTAGGTGCGTCTGCTTTTGGCACACTGCTTTCCGGGCCTCCGCATTTGCTCCAAAGAGGAAAGCCTTAGACATATTCTGCCTCCAAATCCCAGAAAGCACCCGGTATGCTTCATATGTGAAGCGCTGCTTAACAGCCTACAACGTCACTGTTTTATAGTTAACGCCCAGAGCAGCTCTAGCGGCTGCTTCTTTGACAGTTTGAGGGTCCCGACGGTTGCAGCAAATAGCCTTTCCCCCACCTCGGCAGTTAAAGCCTTGATGGCCATCCTCTGTTTCATCTCTTCCTTTTGCAAGTGCAATAGCTTTGCAGACGCTTCCTGTTCCAGGGTCTCCACAGCTTCGCGATATCCATAAAACGCACGCTTGAGATTGTCAAGGTATTGCTTGTTGCTGCACAAGGGTGTTCAACAGAGAGAAAAAGCGACTCCCCAGCTGTAAATCCTGGCTAAGTCTTTTGGCTACCTTCAAGGGGGCCTTGCACCCCTATAAGCGGCAGTATCGCACTAGAAAACTGAATGTAAGAGCCATATTAATTGGTAAATTTCTTTGCTTTTTAAAAGGTACAGAAGGCGCTATTTTTTTACACTGTGACACTGGGTCTGCCATCACAGACCGCATGCCAGAGCATGAAAGTGAGTAGACTGAGGTAAGTTATGGAGACTTTTGCCTTTGCGGTTATAGAAACGCTATACGGCGCGGGGACGTACATGCGTTTGAAAGCTACAACGGCTGCGGCATGTGCGAGCTGGAACTTCTTTGAGTGCATTTCTATCGTCTGCTGAAACGAGTCTTGCAGTTGCTGCCTCAGTTCCTGTAACCGGATTTTTGTTCTCTCAGGTAATGCACAAACCCGAGATAAATCTTCAAAAGCACAAGAAAAGCCCATCTGCCGCAGCAAGGGAGCTCCGAGTTCTGCCTCTGCAGCTGCGGTGGTCTCAGCCAATCGTATTGCTGCCTCTGTAGCAGCCTTTGCGCGTTCTGACTGCACCCGCAGTACATTTCATTGCTTAAAGTTGCCTGCTAAGCAATGCTGAGCTGTGCCCACACTTTGTAGCAGTGGCCTTTAAGTTTAGGCAAAAGGAAAGCTTAGGTCTTGAGTATACAACAATTCATGCAACTACTGAAGGTGAACGTTTCCTGGGAGATGCTGCTGGAAGGTGTGCCCCTTTAAGGCAGGAGTAGCAGTCATACCAGCAGCCTAGACGTTTCTCCAATAAAGTTTAGCACTGCTTGATGGCGCTGCTCAAGATGCTCATGTCTGATGTCTTTGCGTCTGCCTTGCACCTCTTCCCGGCTTAAAAGCGCAGCTGCTAGGAGTTCAAGGCTGCGCTTCTTTGCCCCCTCGATACTTTCCGGCTCTAAATCACTTGAGTTTTTGCGTTCCTCGTTACCCTTCAAGTACGTGAGGCCTGCCACTACTAACTGACAAACATCAAATTCTTTGCTGGCCTTGCACTTTCTTGCTATAGCAAAGGCTTCGGCCTGGGCTTCGGCAGCAGCAGCCGTTTTGGCTGCTGCTGCAGCATATTGGGCGTGTAACTCCTTTTTGAGTGCCTTACTAAGTTTGCTAAGTGCTGATCTTTCATGCTCTGCCAGTAGATGAACATGCCTCACTGCGGCGTCGTGAGAGGCTTGTAATGAATTGCGCAGAAGCTCCATATGTCCCTCAGACTTAGCCTTGATTTGTGTTTCCTGCTGCTCCATGAGGCCCTGCAGCTCCTTAGCAGCCGTTTTGCTATACGCGGATTTTGTCCAATTGCCTGTTACTTTTGAACACTTCTGTCGTAGTAAAGCTGCAATGGAGCCGCAAAGGTTGTTGACAACTGACGGGATTTCTCCGTCGTGAGCCGTCAGTAACTCCGCCAGAGTCTGATAATGTGTCACAAAGCAAGCAGTACTTTGTGCATATCTGGGATCGGATATTTAAAAGTAAGGCTGACAAAGACTTTTAGCATGTACAAGCTGTAACTTCACTAATCCTTCAGGAAGTACGGTTGCAGCCCCAAGTTTGCAATAAGTTCATTCAGCAGCTTCCGGGAGAATTGTTGCTATTTACCTCTTGTAGTAAGCGATTGAGAGAAGATGAAATTTCGTTGAGAAGGCTGTGGCAAGACAACAGTGAGACCACAGTTTCTCTAAATCTTCTAAAGTTGAATCCAACAAAAACAGATAATCAGAAGACAAGCGTGGTGGCCCTCTATTGTGAATTCAACTCAGGGAATTACACCGGCAACTGAGAAGTTGTAGCGGCAGCTGCACTCGTAGACTTTAATGTTCCGGCTAACCGCGTGTTTTCCTTAAATTTGTTGATAAGGAAAGTTTGTTGCCATTGTAAAACCATGAGGTTCCCCAAGTCTTGGATATCAACCATCTCTTCTCTGCACACGCTGCAGAGAGCGGCGAAAGCTATCTGCTTTTCCTGCCTACGACGCTCAGCCAGATCGACGTGTCTGTGCAAGTACAAAAGGCTCTTAAACCGCCTGGAAACTTGTTTTGCTTCGCGTTTGAGCAACGAGTCATATATAGATGCCAACAGGAAATGTCGCTGTCCTTCAGTGTCTGCGGTGGCCTTAGCAGCAAAGTGGGAAGAGGCTTCTTGTAACTCCACCACTGACTCCCCACTCTGCATCAAATAGTCAAAGGCTCGCGAAAAGCCCCATGACACGAAGCTTCGAACTCAGCCTCCAAGAAGCTAAGCTGGTTATTGGAAGGCACAGAATTAGTGGGGTTATTTTTCTGTTTGCAGATTCCTCCATAGTCATTTTCAATTTGGTAGGCTCATGGATATTACGAAGGGCAGGGGTTCCTTTAGAAACATACTCCTTTGGCCGTCATGGCAGCTGTGTCTAATGAATCAAAGACAGAGGGACCTGCCTTTGTGACGCAGGCTCTGAGGATATCAGCTTCCTTTCTGCCCATGTGTGCTGTTTTAAGTGCTGCAGATTTTTCTCCCTGATGATGTGTGAGCTCCTGCTCTACTAACATAAGCTGTGCTTCTGCGGCTTGCCGTTTCTCCGGGCCTTGAAGAGTTGACAGAATGTAGTGCAACAGGGAGGTGACATGCCGATTACTGATCGGCAGGCCCCCTTCCAGGTGGGCACATTCGATGCGCTGTTTCAAATTGTTCAGCATCTCTCCCACCTGCAAACACACCCAACCAAGAGACTATGAAGACCTTTATATATCACACCGAATCCTTCTTATGCTGCTGCAGCGGACACCCGCTTACGAGCAGTGGCGTGAAGCCCTGCTGCATTTTCAGTAGTCCAGGACTGCCCTGGTGCATCTCAGCAGGGGCTTTAAGAGTAAGTGCATCCTTTGCACCAGCTGAATCGCTTCAGAGCAGGTATCTTCTTCTCGCTTCATTTCCTCCTTCAGTAAAAGGGATATGGTTTCCCGCATGTCGTACAGCTTTTCAAGAGTGGCCTGAGGGTGTGATAGACACAGAAAATCGGCCGGGGGCTACAAACTTACTTTCGGCGCACACAGATTTGCTGTGGCATTGGCTGCTTGCTGTTTGTACACATGGAATGAGCCAATAGCAAACGATGTGGTTCATGTAACACTGCCCGCCAGATCTATATCCTTCACACGTGCCTGGACTACGCGAAGATCTTGGATGTCTATATCAACGTGAAGCCGGTCAAGAGCAGGCTTTACGTCTGCTTCAGGGTCGTACTGTTCCTGTTCCTGCATAACAGCAGCGGTACCCCATGATAGCAGATGCTTTGTTCCAGATCCACCCCAAAGTCTTCTAACAAAGGTTGCGTCGCTGGGCTGCTTGGAAATTCAAAGCCGTAGTCTACAGGGCTTACAAAGCTGTGTACTGATGTTTGTGGCGACGGCACAACACATCTTAGAAGCTTATACGGAGTAATCTCTGGATGGAACTGTCACGCATGGCTCTGGCTACTGTGATTTACGATTTGCAGGGGGCATCGTGGTCCGGTGTCCTCAACGAGACAGATTCAGTGCTCGCTGCATTTACCTCGGTCGGAAACGTACATGCCTACAAGGATGCCCACTTAGACATTGACCCACTACCTCACTTTATTGAGGTGCAGTGTCTCACTGTCGTATCAAGCAGGTCGTCCCGGAGCCTGTAGTGGGCTATCCTTATTGGACCCGTTGGTTTTAAGAACTTTACGTAAAAGTCAATTGCTGATTTGGCGGAATCTTTGTAGCTCTGCACTGCAGTCCTGCTGTGATCCTGACAATAGATATTGCTTGAAGCAGTTGGGGCCCTGGTTGCTGCCCACCGATGCCAGACAAACCTTGCCACAGAACTCAGCAAAATAAGCACGACAAGGAGCAGAGCCAGCAGAAGCATCACGAGGAGACTCCAATTGGGGTCTAAAATGAGTTTGTCTGTCATGAGGGAAATTGCCAGGAGACCAAGAGGACGAAGTCGAATTGGAGTGGGGTTTCTGAAAACAAGCACTCTTGACAGCTGTTTTCCAACACTAACCGGCTAAATCACAGCAACGTTTTATCAATTCAAATGCAGTGCGATATCGGATCCACGATATCTAGCTAAAGGACATAGCCATATGATAGTGGTGCTGCATTTTCATGTCACCGGTTGGGGCTGATATCCGAACGAGGATAGATAAGAAGTAGATCGCATGGACAGGGCCACAAAAGGCTCACTCTGTGTCTCCCGGGCAATGCATGCCTGGTGCCAGCACTCGAACAACTGATATTTTGGCTTTATGCTTTGAAGAGGCAAACACAAACGTTCCTTCGGACTCAAAAGTATGAACGAAGAAACCGCGATCGGCCAGTCGATTATCCTCTGCCGCTTCAATTAGCTGCCGAAAATCGGTGCTATCAAAGGTTTTGCTTGAATTGAGTAACGAATCCTGCGGGTAAGCAAGCTCAGCTCTCAGTGTTGAAGCACGGAACGAAACAGATACACACCACAGTGCAGCAGATACTACCACCAGCGTCTGTGCTTGCTTTACTGGGCAGTGTTGTGTTGCCGCCAAAGCAAACACACCTCTACATACACAGGATATACTCCATCTTTGAGCTCCCAGACAATGGAAGATCCGACTAAAATGCAGGTCACGGAGTTGTTGACTGCCATCGACTGTAGTTCGAAGTTAAAGGACTGCCTCCAGCTTGACCCTAGCCGTCTTAGTACATTCTGTTGCTGCAGTTCCTCAATCTCTCCGACTTGAGAAGCCTCCTGTCCCCGAGGTAACGACTTGGCGCTGGCCTTGGTATGTCTTGAGCTGCGTCGACTCCATGCCAAAAGTCGTTGGTCTGTGCCTCCTGCACGCCACTTCGTTGGCGCCCAGAGAGAACTTGGAGGGGCGTACAGTGCATGCAGCCCCGCCTGATCAGCGCGCTGGAAGTAAATGCGGCAAGGAACCTCCAGGTCCACCAGAAGCTCCTGGAGTCAGGCCACGACACTTCATAACAAACGCGCTGTACTAGAGTAAACATGCATAGCTAGGTACAAAAAGAGCGCTCTAGAGTGATTTCCTAATCCAGCAGAGACATTTGCCGCTCACTCGAAGCATTGAGCAGTACTTGATAGCATAAGTTAAGTCAATATCTGGATGTTCCAGAAGGGTTGTTTCTCCTGTCTGGTGATCCACGAGGTTGATCGCATTTGTGCCGAGGGTGACAGTTGGCAGCACTGACTTGCATTTGCTGCTGCATTGTGCAGCTTCCGCGAGGGCATTTGCGCATTCACAGATGCCTATACTGCTCAGGAAAGTACCACCCTCTGGCCCACACGCTTCCGTACAGTCAACCGAAGCCACACATCTCCCTAAGTGATCCCTAAACTCGGTCGATGTGCAACGCGTAAAAGTCGCTGGCTGACAAGGCAGCGTCCCATCTTGTAGCTCCGCTACTTCCAAGTGATGATCATAGCTCACAAATCTGTGGGAAGTAAGAAGAGATGAAACACTGCATGTTACTCAGCCCCTTATAGTGTATCAGAAGCAAGCAGAGCTTTTAAAGCATTTGTGATCCGGGTCTACCCAGATCAGTGAGATGCCTTCTGCCCTCGTACGAGTCAACTGTTTTGGAGTGCCTGTGAAGCTAGCACTTAATGGAAAGAAGCGGTGGCGCACTGACCCTTGCTGACAGGAACACTTTTTGTCTCCATGCTGGTACACGCGATTTTTGCCCAAGCAAACACATGTAAGCGAACCAGATTTCTTTTCCTCTACCGCATGTGACCCACAGGTGTCACAGGAGGTCTGTAGCGCAGCAATAGTAAATAGCCAGCAAATACAATCAGTTGTTACCGTGTCTACGACGGGCTTTAGCTTTTGATTGATCGCAGCAACCCACAGCAAAGCAATCTACACAGGATGTCATCAAAGACCAACTAAGAATTCCATATATCAGAGAAGCAGGTGTACAGTAAGCCAGTCCGTGTGTTGAATCTGGGGGAACGACCTTCTGCTTGTATGCAATCTTTTGAAAGATTAATGTTAAGCAAATAATTCACGAAGTATGTGGTGGGAAGGGCAGGGTTTTTAAATGCTTAGCGAGGAGCTACGACCATGTGCATTGCGCGTAGAGACATACCATTGCAAGGAAGCGTTGATAAGTCCCCTCGGGGCACGCTAAGCATTCAGCAGCATCCGTCGCCCCTGGTGCTTCCCTGTAGGTTCCCGGACTGCAAGGGAGGGGGACAACCGTTGCAGCAGGACAATAGTAGCCAGCAGGACAGATGTGGCCCCCAGCAGTTAATGGCATTGGACTTGTCGCTCCACCTGCAGATGCCGTCCACAGCCCCACAAGCCTATTAAGTGTAAAACCTGTGCCTGAAGCAACCGTAGTGTACTGTGTGTATTTATACCAACAGTGACAAAAAAATTTAGGTCTTGGCAACTCCGAGGCTGAGCACGGCCGGTCTGGCCCATTACCAGTGCAGACATATCCGGCACTGCAGGGACTGCAGACAGAAGATGCATTTGAGTCTGAGTAGGTCCCAGCTGGGCACAGTTCGCAGCAAGCGTTGACCGTCAAGGTCCCGTCGCATGTTGATTTAGCCTGCACACAGGGGAGGCGGAACGTTGAATCCCGTCGCATTAATCCCTGAGGCTCATGCAGTGCCAGAAGCCAGGACATAGCTAAATACATGCTTTCTAAATTCTTTGGCTCCTTTCCCAATACACGCCAAACCGGCGAAACTGCATGAAAGGTTTACCCGGCTACCAGCAGGGCAAGTGAATGGCTTGGTGGCGCCACCAGGGCAAAAGAAGCCCGTTGGACAGGGCATTGGGGTGTCGGTCTCTTCAGGGCAGTAGTGGTTCGGTGGACAAGGAAGAGGCTCTCCTGACTCTCCGGGACAGTAGAAGGTTTCAGGGCACGGAGTCGGCTCAACAGACCCTGCGGGGCAGTACGTCTTGGGAATGCATGCCAACCGATAGCTCTCGTTTTGCCCCCTCTGTATGACCATATCTGCCTGCCGAAACAGGGATAGTTCAACGGCCTCTAGAGAAACATGAAAACTTCGCTTATGTCCAGGGCAAAAAAAACCTACAGGAATGCGCAGCATTATTGAATGTTTACGTATATGTGAGGCACCAGGGCTCCGTAAACACATATACACAATTCTCGTGCACACCACAGATGTACCTTAGTCTCGTGGAAATATCACAGAGAAACACGATTGTGACACCAGTCAATCCGATTTAAAGCTGCGTTTTTAGTTTTGGTGGAATCTGACAAGCGCTGGAAACTCCTAAGGTTAGCGGCACATACCCGCAGGGCAAGGCGTGCATTCATCCGCGGATTTTGAGCCAATCTGGTCGTTGAATGTTCCTGGGAGACATGGTTCTGGCTCTGCGCTCCCTTGCAGGCAGTAGTGGCCCCATGGGCAGACACTGTTCGCGTAAATTTCCATTCCTTCGGTAGGGCAGGTGTGTCCCTGCGGACGCACTACAAGGGACCTTGTGAAATTTGGACCACGTTGCTTTAGATGTTTGCTGCAGTCGCGTAGACCAATCTAAGTGGGAGTAATAACTCGAAAGGCACGACAAATTCACGTGGAAAAACTGCGTCTGACACGGGAAGAACTGTTTAGGCGATGTAAAAAAGGGTTTTCATGAAGCACTTACTGCTGCACAGGGATTGCACATGTCCGCCTGCATCACTCCGCGCAAGCCTTGATAGGTCCCAATTGGACATGCTGTTGGGAGGTCCTGACCGGGAGGACAGAAGGCCCCTTCAGGGCAAATAATGGGGTTCTGTGGAGTGGCAGCAGCCAAATGGAAGCCACAGCAGAGCTGCGTTTGCACTGTTTATGAACAGCTTGGCAAAAGCTGAGGAATTAACATCCTACTGCTATCTTTGGAATTCGGCCTTTGTGCTTGCTTTGTCCTCTTCCCCAGTAAACAGTCTCATGTGGCTGGGTGTAGCACTAAGCATATGCGGTTCCACCTAGTTACTTTTGGGAGCACACACCAAAGTCAGTGGGCCACATAAGTAGCCAAGTTGACAGTCAACGCAATCGTCCTGTGATTTGGCTCCTTCAGATGCAGTTGCAAGGCCCTCAGGACACCTCTCTGGTGTCTTTGTTCCGGTGGGGCAGTACAAGCCTGAGGGGCATGGCCCGCTGCACTCAAATACATGGAATATATAGAGTTTGCGAAGCTGCTTCTCCCGGTTGGGCTTCGAAAATAGATTCTGGTTTCACTGCTTTAAGACAACCTCGCTGATGGTGGAAGCATCCTTGTGAGTGTGGCCGAAGAAATTTTCTGAACTGTGCACCAAACTTTCAACTCTAGATCCTACGGAAGAAGCTTCTAAACTCAAGTCACTGACATAGATGACTAAGAAGGAAACACACAAAACTGGTGAACTTCATCTTAGTCGATGTCTACTCCTACGCGAGTTGTATTTGAATGCCACTCCAAAACTTGGCAGCTTGTTGTTCATATTCAATAGACGCAGAAGCAATGCCAGGCGCTGCTCCACCTAGACACAGGGTCCCAGCAGGGCAGTCACTCTCCTGGCTGTTTATACAGACTTTCCCTGCTGGACACTCTGCGCATTCGTCCTGCACACTGAAGCCCTTTGCTTTGCCGATGGTTCCTGCCCCGCAAACACTGACTTCGGCCTGACCAGAGGGGCAGAAGCCACCCATCGGGCACTCCTCTATGACTCCAACTGCGCACTTGTACCCGGCGGTGCAGTCTGGGCAAGCCTTCATGCCTACGAAGCAGCAGCAGCTATCGCTCAGCCCCAAAGTGGAATGTTAACAAACCAATATAAGAGAAACAAGCGGTAGGTTTTTATTATCTTAAAGGTAAGGGGCGTTTTTGACTAGCATTTGACCACAGGCCCAACTAAGAGGCCTAAATAATATTCAGCCAATCAAAAGCTTCATTAGTCTTCGCAAGTAAATTGGCAGCAGCAGGAAACTAACAGATAAAGAAAAGAAGACTGGTAAACAAAACAATTAGAGTACCTGAATTGCTGTTGAATGTGCCAGCAGGGCAATCTAGCGGAGTAGATGAGCCTGAAACACACTAAAATACCTTTATAGACACGTGTAACCTGGCACAGCGCCAGTTCCTCATTCCATATATTCATCAGACATTGTTCACAATAAGTGATGGTGAAGGCAGTCATGCTGAAAAAGTGGTGTAGTACATTTTGGGGGCTTGGCTGTACCTGCCGGGCAGTATTTGTGCGGAGGACACACATCTCCGTTTTTTTCCTTTGTAGGAGCTGGCGTTGTTGAACCACCTGTACAGTAGAATCCAGCATAGCACGGCCCATCCCCCGCCGCAGTGATCACAGCTTCATGGGCACAGTAGACTCCAGCTGGGCAGGTGGAACACTCTGCTTCCCCTTCTGTGTCCTTGTACGTCCCCTTGGGGCACGCGGTGGGGACAATCTGCAAAACAGAGGAAAAAGTGGCATTGACCGCGTCAACTTGCTACTGCTAGTTCCTGCTTCCGAGAATGCGGTCGATTTAAAAAGATTCGTGGAGTTGTAAAATTGAATCAGCTGTAAAGGAGGATGCAGATCCACTGGGAACACCAGTCTGCGCCAGGCCTATCCACGCTACTACCAATTCTCACCGCCCCGCTTTCGCATGTGTAACCTGCTGGACAAAGCACTGCTGAAAGCGGTAGGTAGGCTGTGACTGCGTCATTAATCTGTGATCCAGAGATGCACCACGTCCCTTGGTCGCATGGCCCAGAAGGCTCAGCAAGGCCGGGTGAGCTGCAGTACTGCCCTGCACAAAGGCACTCTCAATCGACGGTGTAAGGTGATAAAGAATTGGTCACCTGTCAAAGCTGCGGAATTCGCAGGGTAAAGAATAAAGCGTTATGTTTCCTGAGGTGAGTTGGCACGATGACAGCATCCCCTTTAGGGAGCAGTCAAACACAGGTGAGCAGCTAAATGAAAGTCACTAGCTTTTGTGCTTACCAGGAGGGCATTCCAGGCAGCCCCATTCGTCTGGCTGCCCCAGCTGGTCATTATAAGTTCCCACTGGGCATTGCCGGGGATTTATGGCCCCTTCAGGGCAATAGGAGCCTTTTGTACACCATATATTGGGTGCCTCCGTAAGTCCTAATGCACCAAAAATCAGCAGGCATTGTCGCTCTACATCGGGCATCAGGGGTGTCTAATGGCACGCCACCCCAGTACTAAAAGATGGGGCTCATAAACATAGGTACCCAGCAAAGTAAGCTCATCGATGCATTTGCTTACCCTCTTGCTGGCAGACTCTCCCAGGAGGGCAGGGATCACAGGCATAGCTAAGGCCTTTCGTAGGCCCATACGTGCCAATGGGACAGACTCTGGAGTTAGTAGTACCCCTAGGACAGTAGCGACCTTTAGGGCATATTTCTCCTGTGCTCCCCTCTAGTGGCCTTCCTGTTACTGCTGCCCCGTAACAGACAAAACCCTCATCACAGGGCTCTTGAGTTCCTGAGCTTTTACAGTAGACCCCAGCACCACATTTAAGGCACTCTACCGCTGAGGCGGCCCCGCGACGCGTGTGGCCGGTGCCACTAGGGCAGTGAGTTGGGGTCCAGGAGCCCTTCGGGCAGTAGGTGTTTGCAGGACACCTGCGGAGTAGAGAAAATACACTTGGCAAGGGGTGAGCTGTGCTGCCGTGGTAGTGCGTTCTATGCAATAGAGGAGCCTATTTTGCAAAGAACTCTGTCAGGAGCACCAAAAAGACTTACACTAATGCATAGACGCACGGTAATACCCCGTTGCAAGGGTCTTCCACTGCAACGCTGAGATTATGGTCAGTAATCTGCCCGTTGGCAGTAAACATTGATTGATATTGGACTGCATTGCCTAGTGTGCCAGCCCCCAAGCGGCAATAGTATCCAGCAGGACAATCCAGAAGATTACTCTTAGTACCCCAAGAAGAGCAATATTTCCCTGGGGGGCAAGAGAAGCAGTCATCTTCTGCTGCACCACCTTTGACACTTCTATAGGTCCCGGGAGGACAGGGCTGGGGACTTTGTGACCCTTCTGGACAATAATTTCCCTCTGGACATGCTATGGGTGGCTGCGCTGCGTCTGCACAGTAGAAGGCTGCGGGGCAGTTGGTGCAGCTTGTGCTGCCTGCGTCTGCCTGGAAAGTCCTGAAACACGAAGAAACAATAACGACTTTGCTAGTCAATGTTAGCCTGCAAGTGTCACCAGCCTCATGTATCATGCACCGCGACAGCTATCGCTCCTCTGCTAGCATAATACCGGTAAAATGTAGTAACTAATGGCACTCATACTCCATGTAACGCTCAAACCGTTCTCCTAGTAGCAGGGAGAGAAGCAAGGAGTCACTTGAGAAAGCAACAAACTCTGACCTCTATCTTCACGTTAATTGTCAAGGGTAAAGGGAAAGCATTCAAAGGATAAAAAAGACACGTCTCAAAGAAGCAGATAAGTTCTAATTTTGTAGTTGTGGCTATGTGCTGCGTTGTGGCGTGTATGCCCGGGGACTATAGATAACACACTGCAAAGTAAGACAAAAATTTTAATCAATAGCTGAACGGGAACCCGTTGGAACAATTTTTCCGTGCGAACCCGGGACTAGGATGCAGCAGTTATGGGGCCTGCCTAGCATAGTTACCATCGGCTTTGTCCTCCTTGCACCCTGTATTGCAAAAACTAGTGCCATTCGCCTTAAGTTGTAGCATTTAGATCAATGCTCACCCTGGCTGGCATGCTTGGGGCTCCCCTGTTGCGCCTCCACACGCTGAACCCGAGGGACACAGCTCTTCTGCGACATCCTGATTGGATAGCCAAGCACGTCACGTGGAAAGCCAGGTACACGTCATAGACAGTCAAGCAAAAGTGGTGCTGAGCTGCCAATTCAGCTGCAGCTATAGATTCAACGGTCTATCACATGCACAGCACGCAGCTTTTTTCAGCTCAGGCAAGTCCATCACTACTTGTCTTGTTATGCCATCTAAACCACATGCACAATGATATGGACGCACTTTAGACCCTTCAGGGCAGACAAAACCCTGAGCGCATTCACCCGCAGCCTTTTGAAGGCCGGGACTTGGGCAGAAACTCCCTGCAGGGCACGGGTCGCACGAACTCGAATCCTTGCCAAGTCGATGCTGCCGCACGGATCCTGAGCAAAGAGATAAAACGGCACCAGCTGGTGATTCTAGTACAAAATGTGCGTGTTCAAAAGTTCGAAAGCTTTATTTCAGCTGTAGAGATGGGGGTGAATACCCGAAATATGTGGCAAGGGGACATGCACAATAGATGAAGTACAGGTGAGAAGCGCACAGCCAGCCAGACCGTCGAATGCTACTCACCACTAGGGCAGGCTATGGGCTCTGAGGAGCCGACCGGGCAGTAGTGGCCTGCAAGAAAATGACAGTGTAGAAGAGGTGGGCAAATGCAAAATGGTGGAAGAAAGAATACAGCTCCAGTGTCGCAGAGGGAAATACAGAGTACAACGGAAGACAAAAAAATAAATTCTGCAAGCGTGCGCTTAGAGTGTTGTGGGGGAATGAGTTTGCATCGTCCATAAAACACTCGCCAGCAGGACAAAACCCTCCAACGGATCTGGAGGGGCAAGCATCAGTAGGTCCCTGAGGACTGTCCGATTCGCTGGAGTTGACACAAAAATGCCCTGCTGCACAAGTGCCCTGAGGCTCAGTCAGATGTGATCGTCCACAATACATTCCAGGAGGACATGGCACGGCAAAGCGGGTACCCAAGGGGCAGAAGCCGCCTGCTGGGCAAGCTGCCCCCCCCGTCGTAGAGGCCCCCGAAAGTCCAGCTGCGGCTGCAAGCGCCTCAGAAAGCGGAACTAAAGTTTCTGGAACGGCGGAGGTTGACTGAGAAATACAGTAATATCCTTCTTCGCAGTTGGTTGGAATGGCGGTCCCAGAAGTGGGGCAGGCCTTCCCTGAGAAGTCCGGACATGACAGTTTCACTCATTCTCCGCACGCTAAATATGCCGATGTGCTTAGCAGTCATTGCACGAAAATGGAGATCTTTTCATTGCCGTTCTCTCACCGGCGGGGCAGGGGAGGCAGGAGTCCACGCTGGTAGCTCCCTTAAATGGCATATACGTCCCTGTAGGGCACGGTGCTTGGCCCGCTTCTCCATCGCAATAGGCTCCTGCTTCACATTCCAGAAGCTTTCCTCCTAAGCAGGTCAAGCCGGCAGGGCATGCGCTGCAGAGGGAGGATCCATCAGCAAAGGTTGCAGTGCCCACGGGGCATGTGGCGGGAGTACCAGAGCCTTCAGGGCAGACCTTGCCGCTGGGGCAAATTTTGCTCCAAGGAGAGCTGGCTCCCTCTTCGCAATAAAATCCAGCAGCACAGAGCCCGGTGATTTGCCCTGGAACTGCACTGTCACAGTATTGTCCGGCAGGGCACTTCCTGCATTGCATGAGGGAGCCTGAGCCACTTTGGGTGCTGTACTTGCCCCTGGGACAGGGTAGAGCATCAGCAGCTCCCTCCACACACACGAACCCCACAGGGCATAGTGTAGCAGAGTCCAGGCTTGAGGTTCCCGCCTCGCACAGGAGACCTGCGGGGCACTCCATATCAGGTTCCGTCAAACCTTCTTTTGTACATAGCTTGCCTGCGCACACATTGTTGGCAGCACTCGGCTGAATCCATCTCGAATCCAACCAGACCAAGAGATTCTATGAACTATTGGCCTTATCTGTGTAACCTTCATGCAACCCCAATACTGGGCACTTGTAGGCTGAAATTGCAATGCAGCCTCACCTGGCGGACACGTAATGGGGCTAGCCACTCCAGAAGGACAGTAACTACCGGCCGGGCAGGGCAGCGCTGCGATTTCTGTTTGACTGCTTTGGTCTCCCACTGGGCAGTACGACCCGGCAGGGCAAGCTTCTTGGGGAGATTCGATGCCTTTGGAGGTACATATTTTCCCCGGTGGACAGGGCTGGCACTGCCGTACATGCATAAGCCCCTGTGTGGGTCCAAATGTGCCTGCAGGACACTGCAGGGGAGCACCGGTGTCAAGGCCGGCTGGACAATAGTTGCCCGCAGGACAACGAGTTTTGGTGTAGTCCGCGACTCTAAGGCCGCAAAGAAAACCTGCTGGGCAAGGTTTGCACTCTTTCGCCCCACTCATCCAGTTATATGTTCCTGTAAAAGAAGTAGAGAAGGGCACCAAAGCACATCCTCGGTGCCAGACGTAAAGAACAGGCGGCAGCTGCACTGAAGGAGAGGAAGGCCCAATGAGAAAGAGCCAGGAACTGGAGGGTGCTGAAGAGACAGGAAAATGTAGAAATCTATTCACTAATTACCGGATGGACAAGGGAGTTCAGAAAACACGCCTTCTGGGCAATAAGTCCCAGCTCTGAGGAAAATTAGGCAAGAAGACGGGGTGACGGCACGGGATTCGAATAGAAAGCTACTTTATATTAGTCAGGTCAATTGACAGTATCTATACTCTTCTGTGACTGAGGTAAAACGGTTGCTTCCCTCAGAAAATAGTGTAACCCGGAGAGTCAGTGCCATCTAACGAAGGCGCACGAAAGGCCTCCCAGAAAGAAACCTTACTTGCAAGCAACAGAATACGGCGTTCGACTTCCGGCTGGACAGAGGTATCCTGCAGCGCAGCTGCCTTCTGGACTTGACAGTCCCGTTCTGGAGCAGTAGCTGCCTTCAGTGCATTTACTGCACTGATAGGATACCACTAGACTTTCACTGGCCCCGTATGTCCCCGGGGCACACAAGTGTGGCCTTTCCATACCCTGTCAACCCAGAGGGTGTTCATCACACCGCAAGGCGCAAAGTCACCTTTGAAGCCGCTAGCAGATAAAAAAAAGCAGCAGTTAACTGTCCATTGTGAAAAGCGCGTAACTCCTTTTTTGAGCCACTGTCTACCATTTTAGGGCCTTCAAATCAGAACAGCCATCCAGATACCTAATCCCAGTATTCAGCGCTCAAAGACAATTTAAGGCGTCCTGCGTGTATGCATCTCTCAACGTTTATTGGCAGTTCTACATATGGCTGGCAGGTAGGCCTACTCGGGGGCAGTAAGTCCCCCTCGGGCATGGTCCACTTGTTCCGTGCTCGTTTCGTTCTGGTCTTGGACGTGTCGCCCCGGTGGCACAGAAGTAGCCCTCATCGCAGCTTCCTGACACAAGCTGATTTCCCTCGCCCATGCAGTAATATGTGGGCGGGCAGGGCATGCAACTCTCTGCTGAAGGCTGCATTGTCCGTGAACTAAGAGTCCCTTCGGGGCATGGCGTTGGTTCTTCTGATCCTTCTTCGCAGTAATACCCAGCAGGGCACTGAAGCATGGTCTCTGCGCCAGTATCTGGACAGTAAAACCTGCGCGCCCATTTTGTTCTATAGAACTGTAATATTATCCGTCTGCCTCTAGAGGTGCTGTGCCAATATCTGCTATGGTTTTTGTTTGTGTTTTCATCTGCCTCGGCTTCTTGGCGTGCTGCCACTTCGTCGACCTCTAGATGTAAAAGCGATGCCCCATGGGCTTACTGACACAGTTATACGGCATGTGGTGGCAGGGCGAACGACCCGTAAAATGCTTAGACTTAGTTGTTTGTGAGTGACTGGGCAAAGCACTGACCCAGCTACACACAGAGTGCATTGCGCTTGGCCCTCGTTAGGGTTGAACGTCCCTCTAGGACATGGAGTAGCAGCACCAGCTCCCTCCTCCGAGTAGTGTCCTTTTGGTGCCAGCTTTTGTCTGGGGTTGCTGGCTCCTTTAGGGCAGATGAAACCGGCTTCGCACAACCCGGTGGGTGCTGTACTAGTACTGCCCTCACAATAGTACCCGGGTGGGCAAACAGCACAATCGGCAGGGCCCAAACCAATCTTGTCTGGATTATATGTCCCAGCGGGACACGGTTGCTTTGAGAGGGCTCCAGAAGGGCAGTACCCCCCAAAGCTGCAAGCACTGCCGCTGATCCCGTCGGTTGGGCGTGGACTTGTGGAGCTGCTCGAGCAAATGTACCTGTGGTGGTCATAAATCGGAGTTAAGCAATAAGAAAGGCGCATGTTTGCTCCTTATATTTGAGGCGCTGATTGTCGCGCCCCACCTTCGGGTTTTAGAAGCTCTATCAAAGCGTGCCGAGGGCAAGACGAAGAGCGAGGCTCGTCGGAGCCATCCGAAGGATCTCTATGGGGGGCCTCTACGTGGTATTGAGGTAAGGTCATGACAAATAAAGACGGGATATGGGGACCGTATAAAGGCCTGTGCATTGGCATACCCAGCAAGGCATGTGCCAGAGGGCGCTGAGAGACCTGTGCCAGAGCAAAAGTACCCCGCAGGGCACTTGAAGCAGTCCTCAACAGAAGTTCCCCCAGTAAAGCCACGGTATGTGCCCTCCGGGCAACGCTGGGCTACTGAAGAACCTGCAGGGCAGTAATGACCAGCGGAGCAAGGCAGCTGCACCAATGTTCCATGCTGAATCTGACACGTGACCCCTGGATCGCAAGGCTCGCACTCCTCCACTGACTTGCTACCGGGGCTCCTGCCCACAGTACCTGAATTAGCAACACCCAAGTATGCTAGCTACAAGTTTGCCGACTAGTGAAGGCAGCAAAAACACACAGATGCAGATCTACTAGAAGCTGACGCAGAGGCCCGGCGAGTACCCAAAGGGAATTCTGGCATTCTGTCCCTCGGGGGGCAACAGCGATACTAATGAAGTCTTCAAATAATTGCTCTGATATTACCGGCTGGGCAAATCATTTCCTTGGAGCTGGATGATCCCTCAGGGCAGTAATAGCCAGGCAGACAGCTCCCTGAGGGCTCTGTAGACCCCGGTGTATCCACATAGGATCCAGCTGGTGCCGGCAGGCATTCATCTATCGCAGTAGCGCCTAGATTCAAGCCGTATGTCCCTACAGGGCACGGAAGAGGGGGAGAAGAGCCCTGAATCAAGCACGCAGTGCCAATTGTGTGCAGAGCAGCCTACCACGCCTGTAGCGAGTACTACACACTGTGTACATTTTGCGGATTTTAAGAGCACAATGCACAAGAGCGGCTTTATAAATTGATTTACTAGAAGCAAATACGACCTTTGGCTTTGAATATGTGCAGATTCTGGCTGCTTTTTTTGTGAATGGCTTTTGACCAGGAATAAGCTCATGCACTGTATATTTTCGGAAGTGGACAATTGTCCTAGTAAAGCTCACACCAGTACAATAGTGCCCTGCGGGGCAGCCATGGGTGTCCAGTGACGGCTTTACCGCAACCTGCATCCGCAGCATACGCGACCATCTGTGTGGACTGCAGGTCCACAGAGGATGTGAAGGTGTAAGAGTGGAGAGAATTCTCGCCCCTGCGATCGGTAAGACAGGGATTTCTTCGTATCAGTACATCTTATGCCGAGCTGCTGTCTGGCGAATGATTGGATAAAGGAGGTGCGTGGCTGATTATATGGGCAAAGGTATGACTGCTAGCTCGTTGCTCAGACTCGAAATTAGTGTCGCCGGAGGAACGCAAAGGCATGGTATACACAAAGAGTCACTCGATGTGCCATTTGGACTACGCGTATCTGAAAGTGTTTGCCAACTAAACCTTTCACTGACTGCACAAATGTACTGGAGCACTATGCACAGTAATGCTCAATGTGAGTTTTCGTCACCCCTGGGAGAGTACATGTGAATCCAGGCTCGCATTCTTTCTCTAGCATGTCCTCATAAGTCATCTGCTCCTCATCACAGTAATAGCCAGCTTGGCAGGCTTCACACTCGGCTGCTCCTGTGCCGGAATATCCCCCAGGATCGCAAGAAGTTGGGCTAATAGAGCCAATAGCACAAGCACTTCCAGGGGGACACGGCTGACAACTCGATGCAAGGGAACTACCGTCTGAGCAACCACGCAGGAAAGATTAGTGGCCGCTAGCCACGTGCAATGTAGCGGGAAATATGGCAGCAAGCTTCAAGAACGCTTCACGTTAGCCTCTAGACGCCATGTATCTAGGTAATAGGTAGCATGTTCTAAACGAGCATCTGACTACAAGTCAGTTAATAGCACTCGTGGGAGGTTCACCACTGGATGCTGACCGTTAAAGGTTCCAGCTGGGCAAGTTCTTGGAATAGAGGTTCCCTTCTCCGGGCAGAACATCCCCGCTGGGCACGTGAGGCAGTCACTCAGGCTTGTAGAGCCGGTCCTGCAAGGGCCATTTAGCCATTTATACACACAAGACAAAACGTGAGAGTGCACATGTCACCTGTGCAGCGTAAAACAGAACAAATTGTACCGGTATATATGAATATTGAAACGCAGACTGTAAAAGCCAGTGGACAGCAAATGCCCTGCAGCCTTGCGCATTGCAAAATAGAAGCAAGGACGCTTACGCAAGTTCTGTGACAAGACTGGTGCGCACGGAACTGAAGAAATAGTAAGACTTCGCTCCTCATTTCTGAGGGTGTGGCCTCCGAAATTCGCAGTTAGCCTATTTCTGCTTTTTGAAACACAGCTCGGTCAATCAAGGGTTGAGGGCACAAGTTTAAAATTCAGGGATTTTACTTGGTGTTGTATGTCCCCGCTGGGCAAGGAATCCCAAGAACCAATCCTTTTGCGTCACAGTAATGCCCTGAAGGGCAGTTGTCTGGGGAGGTTTGTGCGAGGCTGGCGCAGTAGCTGCCTTTGGGGCAGGCCAGGCAGCTGCTCCGTGATGTGGCCAGAATGTTGGGATTGTAGGTGCCTGGAGGGCAAGGGATAGATCTGGAGTCGTGTGTGCCAGCTGGACAGTAATATCCAGCAGCGCAGGCCTCTTTGTGGTTTCCAAAGGTGCAGCCATAGCCTAGAACAAAGCGGAAAGAAACATGAAAGAAACTATGTGTGGGGTAGTCGTCCCACGCTATGACAGCTGCCTTTCCGTTCTGTGTCACCGACATTGAAAGTGGATTTTAGAAGGATGTCTCGACGCAAGTATGCACATACGCTTTAGCAGGAGGTGCTACACGAGTAGCTTACTGCCCCGCCATGCCTAGATTTAAGTCTTTGAGCACACCCCCATTTGTATGCTGGACAACTAGCTCTGCACAGTGTGCGTAGAGGTGCGTGTGCAGAAGCTAGCTAAGTGCTGTGAGCGGTAATAAAAACGCTATCTTTGTGTAGTGATGCAAAAGGACTAGAAAGCTTGCCCGCAGGACACAACCTGCACCCTTCCATGCTGCTGGCGTTAGCTGTAGCTAGTGTCCCTGGAGGGCAGGGAAATCCTTCGAGAAAACTGCAGCAGGCAACGTCAGAAAATCATACCAATGCATTGAGCAACCGAGCCAAAAAGAGAGACAAAAATGGACAGGGGGTTAGGAAGAGCTTGAAGAGAGCCACTTGCTCACGCTGTTCCTTCTGGCAGCATGTTGCCGAAGTAAGGGGGATCTAGTGCTTTGTTCACGTGGTACGCGTGGCAGTACTTCCCTTGGGGGCATATGGAGCAATTGTTCTGGACACAACACCCGAGTAAAAGAGCACGGCAATCATTAGCTGGTCGCAATTCAGCAACCCTGAAGGTGTTTCCACCTATGGGCTTGGCTTTTCAGCAGAATTAACAGCAGTGTAATAACGAAGCCGCATATTCTTAAAGACCGAGTGAAAGCTGAGGGATTGAACATGTGCTTTTAGAAGCAGCAGTGTGCTCGTATTAACTTCACAGATACAGCTGCTTCTATTGCACTTCCAAGATGGTATCTCATGTGTCTCATCTTACCAAGCTTTTCTGGTTCCCGTTAGGGTTCGACACGTATCCTGGGGGACATGGCCTCTCTCCCATAGAAGTCTGTGGTTGCATATAGGCAGGCAACGCATTGAAAAGGTGAATAAGCCAAATTTAAGAGACTTCAAGTGCAGCTGAAGTAGAACTAGCTCGGACGGGAGCTCGGCTTGGCATGGTGATCCAACACAAGGATACACAGAAGCTTGCTTCTTGGTGCAAGCAGAAATGGGTATACCCAGTTTGGTTTGGGCGGATGGATACTAACCGACCCAAAGCAGCTAGATCCTTCTGCAGTGACCATTTTCCAAAGTGGCAGCTTGTATATACTCACAGCCACAGGCTCTTGGATATACCAAATAAGGGGTTTGTAGCCCTTAAAAAATGTGTTGCTTGTGACAAGTTACCGCCTCGCATATGCCAAGGTCCGCATCGCAAACGCCAACATGCCAGCTTCGTGTCTCGGACATTAACTTGAAGCCTGCACGGTGCACTTGAAAAGACTCTTCGCAGTACACAATGTTGGTATGTTGACAGGTGACACCGGTGTAATATGCAGTAGTGGAAAACTTTGACGTCTCCTTCTTATGAAACAGGCCAGCTTTCTTGCTCATAAGAGCAAAGGCGTCGGTTGCGCGGACCGAAATGCAGTCCTGCATCGGAAAGTCACAGTCGAACCAGCCCGCGAGCCACCTAATTCTGCTTCTGAACACACACGGCAATATGTGCACCTCAGAGTTAAGCAAGCCCATGCAGCTATGATACCGGCTAGCTAGGGATAAAATAGACGGCACATAGCCCACACCCTTAGTGTGAGCTGTATTAACAGCGTCCAAAGCTCAAAAATTGTTCCCCGGTTATTTTATAGAGCAGTGGTCAACTTCTTTCGCCGGTGCGTCGGTCCCGGCACCTCCTCTGTAGAATCGTCTAGACTTAGAAGAAGTACGACAAGTAATAAACAAAAGGCCCAGTGTTACAAAGAATTACATCAGCATATGCGCATGCCCCCATATGTGCTGTCTGCGCTTTTTCGACAGCCTTCGAATCCTTTGAGTTGTTCTGTTCAGGATCAACAGGGATATCCTCGCATTTATAAAAGAAATTGCTGCAGCTGGTATCCGCTATTGCACGCTCACTAACTCGTTGACCGCTGCAAACGTACTCATAAAACACGTCTGGCACATGTCTAAACACACCAACGTCCGTCGCCATACTCTCGCAGCCATGCCCACTAGTTCTGCCATCCGCCAACAGAGCAAGGCTAGAAAGGGGCTTGTATTACCACATAATTTCACCTACTGAGGGCAAGCGAAGTATTTTCCACCCCAGCAGATGCCTCCCTCTGGGCATTTGGGGTCTGTGTAATGCGTGTGGCAGGTGTCGATGGGCCTCTCTACCATTGGGGTTTCGGGGTCCCTTTCGAAGCCCTCCGAAAGAGGCAGGATGTGCAGTGGCGAGGGGCAAATACTATGGGGAGGGCAAGGACTGCATCTTCTATCCATAACTCCTCCTTTTGTCCCCTCAAGTATAACTTCGCCGTCTTGGCACGCTGCCGGTGGCTGCCCTGGGTCTAGGCACTCGTGACCGGGGGGACAAGGCCGACAGCGCAAGTCTCCGGGAAGGGAATAGGAGAAAAAGCGCTCACACGCTGTCATTTTTCCGTTTTCACAAGAGACACCAGCGGGGCACGGTCTGCATAGCGAGTCGGCGTCTACCAAACCTGAAGGCACTCAACGGGAGGAAATGGTTCTTCACAAGAAGCTTGAAACGGGGGATTTGTAGCTGCGAAGATTTTGTTATGGGGAGGCGATAGCCACAGCATCGCTATCACCCCGTTCTCTGTCGTGCTCCACAGCAGCACAGAGCAGGGATCCCTGATGCAACGGGCTACTGAGATGCTGGATTGAGTATATACATCGTCCTTTACCTGAGGGACAAGCAATGGGATCTGCTCGTGGGTTGGGGCACAAATGACCAGCTGGACACTTGGTACATTCGTTCCTTAGAAGCATTGATGTAGAGCCTAGTTCTCCCTGCTTGCAAGGCATGGCAACCCCATCTTTGCAAGCGAAGCCTTGGGGACACCGTTCGCAGGCTCCCCCTACCAAATAGTAACCCGTAGGGCACCAGTGGCTTGCCCTGAGACAGTTAGCGCACCGTCCATGTTGTAAGAGGTGATTCAGTGATTACAAGTAAATAGCCTAGCTTGGGCTCCAAGTTCAGGTGACCTACTTCCGGCCGTAGGGTAGGTGTACATTGCAACATACTGGAGAACGAGAAATAGCGGAACCCCAACCGCAGCAATGACGTACTCTTCAGGTATAGAAGCCACTTCACGTTTGGAGGCGAGGACTTCTGGAGGTGGGGGAGCCTGGCAGAGAGAACACCCCCAGGCCGGGGTGCTCCCAAGGACGGATTCTAACTGAAGGGTCGAATTCGCACACCTGGGCATCACAGCGCAGCGACACTGGCAAAGCACCTACTGATATATATGCCCAGGATGAGCACCAGGGATGATAGCGTTCAAATGCTTAGCCCCGGCAGGAGCGCTGCATGAGGTTGCAGCGCCTGATAAGGGGACGGCTGCGTATGTGCCACTCTCCTTGCTTGTGGCGCGCGGAACACCTACTCTTTGCCTTCGGGACACAGAGTGCACTTATCTTCTCTGCTAGTCGCACACTGCAAAAGCCTTCCAAAATAGCACTTAAAGCCTTTAGGGCACGGCTCGCAAGCTCCGGAGTCTCTGCTGTAGAAGGTGGCCTCCCCACACAAACTATTGCTTGTTGGCACCACTTGAAGTGTCCCTGTCGATGTGCCAGTAGGATCGAAGAGCTGACAGTTTGCAGAAACAGCTGGAGTCAGGCTAACATACACATCTACTGCATATAGGGTGCTGTAGGTGGTCCCTGACCCCGTAGACGGTTCACAGCGAACGGAGGCGGAGATGGGGTATTTGTCTGCTCTGTTGCATGAGGCAGTGAAGCACCGAGAAACGACTTCTTCCACTGTTGCAGGGCCCCCCATCACAATGAGCTCAGCCTTTGCTTCATTGCGTGGCATCAAAGACCAAGGCCTCACAAGTTGCATCTGAATTCTTCCTCTCTCTTGGCTGAGTTTGATGACACCTTCTGAAGGATGAGACTCCGGGAAAACTGCCACCTTACCCCCGAGAGGCAGCAACTGCAAATCTCCCCCATTTATTCGGTCTCTTGGTCCCAAGTCAAAGCTCAGCGTGCAAGAGGAATTGGTACAGCCCGAATCCTCAGGGATGACCAAGGCCATCACCTCCGCACTCGCCCACGCTAGGTTCGAACCTCTGGTGGGGTTGGGCCCGTTCTGACTCTTGCATCTTTCCTCTTGGCAGGGTTCTTCAAGAGGCGCAGCTGCGCCACCATCCGTATCACCTGCGTCTTCCAGAGGATTGTCACTGCTCTCTAACAAAATTAAGTCAGTTCCAGGTGCTGGTGAGACGAGTCGCAAGGACTTTCCCGCGCTGACGGTAACACGCACGTCACCCCGTACACCAGCGCTACGGTGCAAGTGACAGCGGACAGAGATTGGCCGGTTGAACTGCTTGTGAGCTCCTACCTCACCCCAGTGGTCCTCTCGTGAAGTGGCATCATCAAAATAAGTGTGGACTTTGCACTGCACTGACACTGTAGGTGGCATTGAGGGGTATACATTTTCTCTCGCCGCCAGCTGCATCTCGGCAGAGCTGGCCTCAATGCCTAAAGGTGACAGAACGTGTTCAATATGGAGCTCTAGAGGGGCGTCGCCTGTCGCTACTAATGCCGCTGCAGCTGCGGCTACAGTAAGAGGGAGCTCGATTTCAATGGCAATGGGCTGATTCCACTCGTCAGGCTTGAATACCACTCGGTGCCCACCTGCCTGCGGTTCTCCCCCAACTAAAAACACCAGTTCGTCTTCCTTTAGCGGTTCCCCGCTGGGGCTTCGTACGAAAGACGGAATCGGTGCACCCCTTAACCGTGCCAGGGATGCACTAGAGAGCCGGGGAAAAATAGAAACTGCAACGGGAGTGTGTGATGGTCTAGACAGATGGACGAAGTAGCCAAAGTGAGGGTGCTCTATTGTCACTGCAGCCGTCCACGAATTAAAAACCAGCCTCAATGGCGTACATATATCCGTTTGCAGGTCTGTAGAGGACAGCCGGCCGCGTGGACCCACATTATAGTGAAGCTTGTGGCTGCATCCGTCGCAGTTTCCTTGTGATTTATTCGGCTCTATTTCTGGCTTTGCAGAAGACGGAAGGATGTCTCGTGAGGCACCGTTATCGACCAGGCTGTTGCCGCATTGGTGTAAAGACTTGACTTCCTCTTCGGTAGAAGAGGTGCTTTGGAGGTCTACTGTCGCTATAACGACATTTGCGCTTATGGGCTGAACAGGTCTACTGTTTCCAAGCGTCTGCAGTTCCCCCCGAAACGCGTTTTCAGAGTCCTGGCTGTAGCTGGGAAATGCCTCACCCAGATCTTTTAGCGGGATTAAAAACCTAGAGGGGGGGAGCAGCTGACCGACTGGCAGATTGTCTAATAGCGGAAAATTCTCAGCTGAAGACTGTGTGCACAACCGCGGAATTGCTTCTAAGGTCATATATGGGGAGTCTGTAAGACCTTCAAAGGTTAAACTCCACTTGGCAATCCCTCCCTTTAGTAGCTGGTGGCCCAAGCCACTGAGAAACAGCTCTGCTGCTGCAGCATCCTGCTGAAGCAGATAAAGCGACACCGAACCGCAGTCTGTTGGGTAGAGGTGACCCTCCGCATCAACTATTTCTGCAAACACTTCTGTAGCTTTCCCCCGTGTCAGAACTGCAGGCTGAGCGTACATCCGTAGCTCGTGGGGAGTCAACGAAAAGTTGTTCTTCGCAGCTGAGTCCAAAGAGAGAAGTTCCTGCCCTGTTATGCCTCCGGATTGGTTTTCCTTCGTGTCCTGTCCGTGAACCTGCACTGTTAAAGAGGGCACTACATAAGCGAGGCCATGCCAGTGAAAAGGACACGAGGGGGCAAAGACCTGCTCGAGATGAGCCACCCAATGTTTCATGCCAGAGGAGATAAATGACCCTGTCCCTTGTGAAATGCGCTGCAGCTCAACAGGAGGGTCGGTTTTTGTTGAATTACGGATAGCCACGAGGGTAGAGTACTCTGTACCAAGGCAAGCCTGGCGATCGCTACCGGTGAGTATGCACGGGGGAGGTTCCGCGAATCGGCTGCCCGTTCCCCCACCAGTAGATTGCCTTGTTGTTAGGATCGTTTTAGGGGAATTCACACTTGCATGGTCCTTTTCTCTGAGGGTTTGAGCTGGCGTAACTTGACGTGTGCTTAGCTCTTGCTGCTTTTGGTCTCCGTTTCCCGTAAATAAGTCACCATTTCCCCCCGCTACCTCGCATGCGCATAAAACTTTTAGCACGAGTAGGAGCAAGGCCGTAGGCCAACCTACTCGCGCGAGAGAGGCTCGCACTGCCATGGCTCGCTTCGGGCTTCAATAGATCCTTGGTGTGAATGTAGCGGTTGGCTGTATGCTTTGTTGCTACACATCAACAACACAGGTATCTCAGAAGTCAACACGTGTTATGGGAATAAGTTTAAGCAACTGATGAGAACGGGGATGGGACCGGGGGCACCTGGTGGGAGCAGTGAGACATTAGTGTCGGAGAGGTGACCCTGACTGGGCGGCCTAGGGCAGGCGTCGGCTGCTGAGGCTGTGGTAGTATTCTAAAAGCTATTTCCAGTGATGTACACTCGAAAAAGAGAGATGGAAGAGGGTAATGCGGCCTTTTTGCAACTGTGGTTCTTTGTTAGGAGACAGGCGGACTATGGTGGCTGGGCACAGGGCACACTTGAGATACGTTCGCCGCCGCAGTGCTAGCAAAAAAATAAACCTGGAGAATTCTAAACAATTTTTGGACCTACTGAAAAGCCATTTGGGTAACTGAATGAAGATATCCCAGTGCCTCGCACTTTCCCCACTGGAGGACGCAGCAGGGGTCCGTGCGTAGCCCAGGATACATAAAAACCGCGAAACAGCAAGTTAATGCAGAACACTTTGGGTCACTATGTAGGAGGTTCGTCCAGTGTAGGGACAAACGATTGCGGCCCAAATGGGGCTGCAGCTGACCACGGGACATTTTACAAAGTTGCCAAGCGGGCAGGGGAAAGGTTTTGCATGGGGATAAGCGAGAAGTGGAATCTCCGTTCGATTATTCATACAGAATTATCTACACCAACGTAACAAAATGAATGCACAGTGAAAGCCAACGCAAAGCTTAGTGCTAATGCAGACAGCAGTGGTCTCCTGGTTTCAAGTACACGCTGCCCATTAAAAAGGAGGAATGATGAAACTCCAGAGAGAAAAAAGGAGCCAGGAGGGTTGTCTAAATCGTTCCAGTCTCTCAGGACCAAATAAACCTATCGGCACTAGAGCGTTGGCATAAAGCTCTGGTAGTGGTCCGACACGTGTGGATGATGAAAACCTGGATTTGGTGGGGCAACACCCTACACGGTCCCGCAGCTACAAACCCTGTAGAATGAAAGCCATAGAAATAGAGAATATTAGGTACAACACTTGATGACTGCTTGATTTGCCGCTGGGGAGGGCATCCAAGCGACCAGACTCCTCCCATGTTCGTCAGGAGACGTCCACAAGCTTTCCTGCGAAAGCGTGCACCGACACCCCTGTAGATGCCTTGGTATTCGTTACTGCCCGCTTCGCGAACATACGCTATTACCCAATGGGTATTTTACTTATCCTCACAACGCTGCAGTCTACTTCTTGGCCTACAAAGCAGCAAATTTTCCTCAATACGATTGGTGCCTGTGCATCCATTTTCCAACCTCTCTAAAGCAAAAGAACTGTTTACGAGGGCATAGATTGCGCTGAATCTCTGCACATCCTACGGCGATATTGCCCTTCATTGTTTCTATGGGCTCGTACGCAGACGGCGTTCTAGAAAATTGGTGCCAACCATGGTTCCTCACCGGCAGGATAAAGAAAGGTAGTGGAGCAGAGATGACCAGTGCTATGGCTCATAATAACCGGTGATCTACCAAACCAAACATGCTGAGTCAAACGAACACACCAAGGGGATCAGTATGCGCAGAATTCTGTATGAAGAGCAGTACGCGAGCTGTGATTGCATACAGTGGCGTAAAATTACCTCAGACGATTCCCATGAGTACGGGCTTCTAAAGCGATGGTGGGGTCTTTATTTTCAAGTAAGTCTTGTCAGGGGCATGCGCTTTTGGCCCACTACCAGAAGCGCCCTAGCAATGAGCAAGCTGCTCCCGCCAAGACGCTACAGGTGCTAGGCACGACTAGCAGACGAGTGACAAAGAAAAAAAGGTTCACTTCAGATTAGAGGAGCCTGATAACCCCGTAGTGTGCGCATAGTTAGGCATAGGGCTGCCTTCAGGGTGGGTTTGCTCTAAGCACACAGCTTGGCGCCGGACTGTGTTTCAAGTGCAGCAAATTCATTTCTTTTGCATCAACAAAGGCTGTAAAGTTACATTGTGAGCATACATATACAGGAGGGATTCAGTCGCTGTGTTGTGAGTTTTTTGTTTAGAAGAGTCATGCTCGTTCTTTCGGCATGGATAGAGGCATTGAAAAGCAGATTAGCAGTTTGGTTTTTAGGCTGAGGGCTTTAAAAATGGTAGAATGCTGATTGCCGTGCAGAATCATTATGCTGAAATTCATGTTTCTTGCCTAAAGTTCGACAGCCTTTCCTATCTATCAGTGCACTGGAAGGTCTTCGAATGCCTGCTACCTTGGTCTCACAAGCATTCTCGGCGTTGCTTGTTTCAAGCTTTCTTTATTCGCAAGTATGTCATTTTTTGAAGGACCGTGCTTTGATGTGTTTCACTCCTCTATTTCTTCTTCCTCCTCTTGTTTGTCAGGGTTCTCTTCTGGCTCTTCCTCGTCATGACTCGCCCCATCCGAGAGCTCGTCGTCTCCTGGTTGAGGCTCTGGCTGTTCCTCCAAATCCGGTGGATCTAGCTGCACGTCATTAGGGGCTATAGGGAAGAAGGGATGACCTCCGTATTTTAGACCCCAGCCGCAATACACAGAAGCAAACAGCTTATTGTAGCAGACGGTCACTGCACCTGGCCACGCGTTGCTGCGCAGCACCACAGTACTATGGCTTGCTTCCTTGTAAGAGGCATTGTCTCCAACGAGCCTCACATTCCACGCCTGGCGGCCGTCAGGCAAATTAGGGTCTTCACTTGCTGGACGGGTTAGTTCGAGAATGGGGTCTTCTTCCATCTGGTGTTGCAAAGCAGGATATCTCTCATCTTTCTCATCCAGATCTGGGTACACAGTGAGACCTTCTGTAGTCAGATAGGGCCTTGAGTGTGTCCAGGCGCTAGTGCTAGCTAGTGCCTTGGCTGAAGGAAATTCGAACTCTGGGTCTTCCTCTGGGTCGCCCGCTTCGTCTGAAATTTGCAACAACCCCGCTGGGCAGAGCACTGTATCAGCGGATATTATCGCGATTGTCGCTCTTAAAAGATGTTTTTCTCTGCCCGGAAACCAAGGAAAGCTGACGATTTGTCTATCGAGGTCCCCTGTGAAGAGCTTTTTGATTTTCCGCGCGGTTGCAATGTGACTAGGCAAAACGTCTGGAAGCAATACCCACTTATACCCATCTGAATGCATCACGAAGTAGGTGTATGTGTTGCTTCCCGTCCCCCGGCGATCCATGGCTTCTTCTGTCTCTTGGTCAGCTGTCATATTCTCCTCCCCCTCATAGCGTGTCTCTGCTATAATGTAGTCCTTCTTGATGCCCAGTACCTTTCCCCAGAAGCGAGCCGAGACAATCCCTGGAGACGAAGCCAATAAACGTTTTAGGGCACAACAGATCCGAAAGGCTTCGCTTGCAGTAAAGCCGCAGCCAGCCCAGTTGAGGAGACGGTTTACTTCTAAAAAGTCGGGGCACTCTGCGGCAATATGCACCTCATTCTCGGGGTCTGCAGCTTGCACAAGTCGCTTTGTAGCCTTCAGCCATTCGTGTAAGGCTGAAGACATTTCCTTATTCGAATTTGGTAAGGGATGTGTAACTCTGTTGGCAGGGGGCTGTAATGCTTTCAGGGCCTTTACTGACTCCGAGACCCTCTCGAATGCCTCGTAAGGATCGTCGGGCTGTTCTGCCACGAGGGCAGCCACCACATCACTCAAATGGTCATATATATTGTGGCCGCTGGCCCCGCATTTCTGCAGAAGACACTGGACCTGTTCTACTGTAGTGGGTGTAGTCATTGTCACAGGAGTGCCTCAAGGGCTGTATGCAAACGGATGGACGGCTTCGATCGGAACCGACCGGAAGTATCACTAACGATGCTACAGCATCACCAAGTGCATCAGATCTACACCGGGGGCATATATGATCCTGTTTCTCCCAAGACAGGGAATTGACTCATGGGCGTTCTATGTTGCCTGTGCCTCGATAACTGAGATTCAGATCAATCGGTCTTGCATCAGGCCTCATACAAGCTTTGATTTTATTGGAAAAACTATATTTTAAAATATTAACACCATCACTTTCCTTGTAGGAACCGCTTGTCTGTGCTTTCGGAGACCAGGGGCCCCCCGAGGTCACTCATAGTGCAAGTCGAAGGAAGACGCTACAAATGGGACTGCGTTAATCGTGTCTCGCTAGGCAATTATGAGACTTCAGCACACTTACTTTTGTTACACCTTGCATTGTGTCTCAGAGGAGTTGGCTCAAAGCAAGAAAAAGCAATATATTTCATGAGCTATTTCTACCAGGGACCTGCTCTTTTGGGGTCCGTCATAGATTTTGATGCAAGACTAATTATCCTATTTACTGAATAAAGATGCTTTGGTCTATTAGCTGGCGTGATTAGGTAGCTCAAACGTTTGTGTAGGGGACGAGAGTCACGCAGTGATATGACGCGTAGATCCGCAGCCGGAGCAGGGCAGCCAAACAGCCTTCTCTTGTTAGAAGACTGAGTTCCACAGTAGATCTGCTGCGCATTGCCTGCAGCCAACTTTATAGGCTTGGTGTTGCTCTCTATTCCCGATTACACTTCTGACGCGTCCAGGGCAGTCAGAACGAGAAAGGCTGATGTCTGCCTTGAAGCAGAAGCTCATGCGGATGAGCGTCGTTGTATTTCGTTAGAGGAAGGCCATCTCCTGGAAAGGTGGGAGAGCATAGGAGGCTGCATCAGGAATCAAAGTGCACGCCTGCTTCATACCATGCAATCTTCGTTGCTGAAGTATACGGCTTCTCGGGTTGCCTGCCGCAGCATCCGCAGTGCTAGGGAAGGCACTGAGGCCGAAAATGTGGGATCCCGTGTAAGAAACAGCAAGAAAGAGGGCCAATTTCAAATTTCTACGACAGAAGACATTCTTCATTCCATCCTGCCACCAAGAGAATGGACAGAAGGGGGCGAGGTTTGGGCTCAGAGCGTCAGCACAACCCCTGCCACTAAGGCTGATGTCGTGGCGCTAGAGCAAGAGCTTGATAAGCGCCTGCGACTCCGCAGGGCGAAGAGCTACGGCATTTGTCAGATTCGAGAGGAACTGTACTCACAGTGCTTCGATGAATTGCTTAGACAGGTTGCACACACAAACGTACAAGCCAAAATCCAAGAGTCCAGACCATTTGCCATCAGACATAAACTGCAAGGCATTTATACAGGGCATCATACACTAGAGCAGCGACTCATGACGCACCATAGACCTTAATCCTTTACTCATAAAACACGTGGCCTCAACACTCTCGAACCCCTGCACAACTACCTCTGGTTTGTCTAGGTGACTATCCAGTGTGCGGAGAGAGGTCTGCTTCTGAATCGCGTACGTGGGGAGCTGAGGTCTCTGATAAAGTCCCACCGCCGACTCTACGAGTCCTCGGCGGCCTTTGGCGTCCGCAAGGCCCTTTTGGCGGAGGTTGAGAGAGAGGCGGAGGAGGCAAAGTGTACAGAACTCGAGAACGAAAATGAAAGACTACAGAACGAAATTGAAGAGGCGAAAAGAGAGCTAGCGGAGGTCGAAGCAGAGCATAAAAGGAAGATCGAAGTAGTACGCCAACATCTGACAAGTCTTCTTGCAAGCTACCGTTTTGACTTTCTACTCAAATACCTGCATTACTACATTCTTCTTGCCGTTCAGATGGCTTCACTGCACCTACAGAGCCCTTATAGGGGAGTGTAGCCGCAGAATACCTTCATCCAAAGACTGAACATGTTGAGGCAACCCCTCCCACAGTGACTCAGTCGCCAGTCTGTCCATCCCCAGCAATTGTATTCTTTTGTAGGATCTTCGTTGTTGTGAAATTAGGCCTGTGTACCTTATTGAGCTTCCCTGTGCACCTTAGTAATCAGCAACTCTTTGAATGTGGTGGGGAGAGCGTTTGTTGTTGGTGTGGCGAGGAATGATGGAAATCCTTGAATAGCTCTAAAGCCTAGATACCCAACCATGCTGACGTTTAATAATAACACGGCGAAGTTCTATTATTGTAATGATCTCTGAAACAGGAGTGTAATCTCTGCAGGAGAAAAATGAGCATGAGTCCAACATTGCTGCTCTACGGCGAAAGGCGCAAAAGGTGAAACGAGAAATCGAGCGACTGCTCTCCACCATCCAGCACGTCTAATGTTGTTGTTACAAAGGAGCTATAAAAGCTCGAGGGTAGCCACATAGGCCACCCAAATGAAGCACCTCCACCCTTGCACAAGCAGGGCCTAACATGCAGTCCTCTGGGTGCTGTTGGTTGCAAGGAGCGGGTCATACGAAATGCAGCCCTGGCCATGCATTGTAGTATGAGAGAGTGGAGTGACATGAAATACTAGGCAACTACTATATGAAGGATCTGCGACTTTACCTTCAATAACTCAGCTTAAAAGCCCTCTAATGTGATCCTTACTGCCAAATCGTTGCGGTCAATGCGGTAAACGCGAGGGCCGTCCCATGCCTAGCTCTTCTTATGACGCTCCACAAAACCTCAGCGCTTATGGCAAAAATAACACGCCCTTTACCATTGAATACCAAATAGTCGCTTGGGAGCTACCCGCAGCTTATTAACGGGTCAGCTCGCGAAGTTTTATTTTGCACTTGGATACGTTTGCATAAGTTTGATGCATAACCATGGAAAAGAACACAGGGAATCTTCGAAACAGTTCTGTGTAAGCCTCGGCTGAACGACGTCGTAAAGGAACACTAGAGCAGAGAAGAAAAACGTGCCTCAAGTGGCTTCTCACTACGGACTCTAGCGGCCCCAGTGCTTGCAACTACAATGGACTGTGCAGGTGTATCAGAGGCAGCACCTTGTCAGACTTTCAAAAGACGTGTAAATGGCAATAGCAGTTCATCATTTTTGCCTAACACATTGCGAAATGCATCCATGGTTTCAGACCTTCAGATAAAGAGGGCACTCCACCCAAAACCTTGACTATGGAGCAAAAAACTACGTTTTGGTAGTCGAGAAGGCCTATCCCGATTTTATTCAAGGTTTACCCGTTTGTAGCAAAGTGTGTGAAGGTAGCAAATAAAATGCACCGAACTGAGTCCCCAGGCGTGTATTCCGGAATTCGGGGTCCTGCGGTGAAGGTAGCTAAGCACCCTGAAAACCTCGGCAGTACACATGAGTGCGTAGCTTGGCGAGACAGGGGTTGGCTTGCCAATATTTTAGTCGCAGGATAAAGTGGAAGCTCTCAAAAGGACTGAACAACAAAATATACAGCCGCATTTCGGCGTGCTGAAGGAAGCCAACTAGGAGTAGTGTGGGAGATTTCTCTTCGTCGGAGTCGACGGAAGGAGCAAGAGCGATGTGTACATATAACGCAGCACTAAACCATGATCAAAATCTGTCTCTTGTCTGTCTCTTTATTCGTGGCCTCGGAGGTGGATGATAGCAGTGGACAAACTTTGCACTATACCGCGGCGGTTTCCTTATGCCCCTCGGTCGTACAGATACAGTGAAAGCGACTAGCCCAAACGAGGTCCATGGTAGCAACACAGCTTCGCTAATAGAGTGAAGAAATCGTGGTAGGTGCGAGTGCTCCACATGTCTCTTTCAGTGCCCCCCTACCGAATCTTATCCTGTGTGTTAGGATTGCTGGCTGGTGCTGCCGTGGCCTTAGGGACTCCTAAACACATCTGGCTACTAACGAGCACAATAGTCAAAAGTATTGTGCACAGATACAAAGTAATGGAAGACCCTAGGCCTCATACGTCTCCACATTACTTGTTGCGACGGCATGCTGCTTCCCGGCGCTACAGAGTGTAGGAGGCGCCACATGAGGAGAAGAAATCCGTTTGAATGCCCTGCTACAGTAGTCTAGATAAGAGCGGGAACAAAGACGCTAACGCATGAAATATCTAAAATCTAGTTACAGTGGGCTGCCTGGCCATGTGTAACACCAGATAAATGGGCGAACGATTACTGAGGGGACCTACGTCGAAAAATTTATCCATAGCGCCTATACCGGCATTTTCGATCAGCCGCCTGTGGTGGCTGGTCATGGGCCCTCCCAGGTTTACGCGCTATGAACGAAGGTTTGTAGTCAAATCATTGACAGAGGAAACTTGCATCCTGCCGCGTCAGTTTATCTATATATTCAAGCACGGTGGAAGTGGCATCTTTCTGAAATTCAGTAAAGTATAGTGCAAAAGGCCAGAAGAACAAAGCAGCTTATGCACACGGGCTTGAGGACACATGGTGAACCGCTTGTTAGCTGCGGGATGACAAGGGATATAATGTTACTTTTTTGACATTCCGCCCTAGCAGATCCCGACGGTCAATTTAAGATGAAGCACGGGGCTACAATCGATAGGCCGGCGGAAGCGATACTGGAGCGGTGAAGAGCTGTACCTCGTGTGTCTGGCCCTGGACTGCGCCAGCAGTACATTTCCTTGACCCAGTCCACACGAAATGAATCAATTGTTGCCATTTGGTAGCAGGATAGGTAGCTTATTCACATTTATGTGCTTGCAAATTTTATATGCATGCAAGCCAATTTTAGACTCTATGTAGCACCGCTACGCTTGTAAGAAAGGGGCTGAGTCACCCACGTCCGTACTGACTGGCTCCCGTAGCCTACAGCCTGCACACCCGTTTGATCATGTGCAGATGCCGACAAATATTACACAATGCCCCAAGGGTTTGAATGAGAAGTTGTTTTGAATTTTAAGCAGACAGGGGAATTGCTTCCCCCCACTTTTCCTTCCCCGTAGCCGGCTCGCGTTGGGACGCACACGTGGCTTCGAGGGGTCACTTCGTCGTCTCTTTACCTGCTGTCATAAGCATTTAGTCGTAAGGAAAATTTATGTACAAAAAGGGAGTAAGCTAGAGCATAGATATTCTGCCAGCATGGTAGAAATTGCGGCAGGGCGCGCACATTTACAAAGCGAATGAGGTCGAGAGACTGAGTAGATCGGCGGAAGCACGGAAAGACAGAGAGTGAAACAATTCTGAGAGAAACGCTCCTTGTTCCTGGCGAAAACTGGGCAGTAAGCTCTAGTACTTGGGATAAGGGACACTCGCAAAAAGCGGCTACGGACAGAGAGGTGGCACCGAGTTGCGTATCTATCGCCAAAGGCGAGCCTTTCCACATCAGCTGCCCCAGATCTTAGAGGAGCAAGTGAAATAGCACCTATACTAAGAGACAGTGCGCCGCAGGTAGGTGCTCAGGTAACTTACGGCTGGCACGAGGCAGCAGAGATGACGGAGGAGACCAGCGGGGCAGGCCTCGCGAGGTTTTGGGCATTTACGCCGGCCATCGATCTAATAAGTCTTCTCACGGATGTGCCCCTCCAGCACGATGCAAAGTGGGAGGAGCACGAGCAGCGAAAGCGAATGCAGAAACAGGATCAGCTCCGCATCCGACGTGCACCAGATTCATCCATAGGTAGGCCCTGAAATTACGAAGGACTCCCCTAAATATGTGGAGTGTATAAAATGGAAACAGACATTCGAAGCTTAAAGTGCCTGCAGGCGAGCAACTGGGCTTGCGCGTGCGCCTCATTCAGGCCCATTATCAATCATTATGTTGGGGTTGGCAGATGTCCACCATGTAATCAAAACTGCACATGCAAGGGCCTCCCAGTGTCTTAATCAACAGGTATTATATGGAAAGAGGCAGAAACACACAAGGACACCATGTTCGAACAAATCATTGAAACATAGGACGATATGATGCCAAACACAGTTTGAGGCAGAGCAGCACAGACATGGAAGACACCCCGGCATGCATACAAATCAATACAGAAATCAGAAGGAAGATTCCGATATACTATGGGATAGAGAACTAGAGTGGGTCGTCCGGAAATAGCCTGTTATATTCATTGGACTATTGAAATGACTGTGATTCGCACTTCTCCCTATTCATCCTTCGTATGCTACAGGTGCACTTTATTTTGGTGGAGGAGACAGCTGAGGCTGCTGCTCGAGCCCTTCTGCTTTTGTTCATCCTTACCGACGAGGAGCTCTCGGTCAGAGGTCAGTATGCTTGTGTAACGTCACACGGGAGCCCCTGATGGATCAGTTGGTTAGGCTATCCCGTGAAAAAAATGGCGGTCTGCGTGCTTCTACTTGAGTCTTTGTCTACCGTGGCATGGTGTATTTTTTTGCTCCTGCTTGGTGATGCAGAGAGAGTTCAATTGTATCTGGAGGTATATGGTAACGCGTTTGTCAGGGAGCAAACTTCTGCGTATATACACCGCGCTTCAGTGCAACTTGAGGAGTCCGTATCGACATCTGCACTTAAACTAGCTAAAGCTTACAACCTCCTGCTAGGGTACATGGCAATTGATAAGTCGTACACTTTATTAGCTCGTAGGAATCGTCAGCACGTGATAGGCTGTGGTGTGTCGAGTCGGGCCTAACATGCACACACTCCGCAAGGCAACGTCTTGGACTTCCCGTGCTTTCGCAGCTTCGTGTGTGGGGAAGAGCTGCCTGGCCTAAGCAGGTTGGTGAACTTGTCGTTGACAAAGCATCGTAATCGGGACCAGCTGCTAGGTCTGTCAATTGAAGCTCCACTTTACACTGAGAGCCTATTCCTACCTACAGCACAAGCCCGAACAAAGAATACCGCTTCCTTTTTTGGGGCTTCTTGGAGTCTTAAAATCCCGACATTAGAGCTGCCGGTGGCCTAGGAAGCCGAACCATTCTTACCACTTCGTTGACTCTGTTTTGGTCTCTTGGTACTTAACGGGCGCCCCCTGCTGCCGAGTGCTGTCACCGTGAATTTCAGTCGTACTGCGGGGATGGCGGCGAGCTGTTCCCTTTGACACGGAAGGCCTCAGAGACCAGCGGCTACGGTATTACTACGGAGACCGCTTCGACTATCGAGCCAACCTGATGGATTGGAATTACCAAAACCACATCCAGCCCTTTGTACGGCATTGCAACATTTCCTTGCTCCTGCTGCCAGCCGTGTTGCTTCTCGATGGTGCTTTACGTGTCTAGGCTTCAGCTGGTTCTTTGGTCTTATCAAGGCGAGGGGGTTGCACTGATCACTCTGCCAGTAGTCTGTTCTAACAGTAGTCTAAGACCTGCTTGGGTTTAGCTTGTCATGTAAAGTCTTGGTCCATGACGGCCTTCAGCAAAACACATTGTGGATACATATCAGGCCCCGCTAGTGCACTGGCGGCAGTACAAGAGATTCGCAATGACTGGTACGGTCCCTCAATGGTGTAAGAGCACTATAGACTCTCAGAAGGATTCCACGTGGAGGCACTGGCCATTAAAGGGCTTTCCTATAAATAGATCTCGCATAATTTGCTTGCATGCCCATTAAGTCCGCTGTACGTTATTGACATTAGCTGTGCTTGCTTCTCGTTTAATCAAATAGCTTCTTATCAAGTATCCAGGGCTCTGAGTGAAACCTGTGCACAGGCCAGGCCTTTGATCTGGGTTCAGCTCCTCGTCTAGAACCGAACAGAACGCTGGCAGCCTACATCAAAGGACGACACGTGAGCGGATTCCAGCTTCCTAATGGCAACAGGCTTGCGCCTTGGGATAAAGGTTTAAGGAACAAGGTAGACGCAACTGTTTCAGATAAATGCATGACCCTTGCCTTACTAGAACGGGCTGAGTGACCCATATCTCGGTCAGTTCCTTAGAAAGTGCTGGTGGCTCTGCTACTGGTGCTATCGTGCTGCAGAAGAAGTCTGCCGCGACTGTCGGAGTACGGGGCTTCTGGGCTGATGTGGTCAGCGGCCCCTTCTACACTCTGGGTCAGTGTTCTTCCCTTAGGCTTCAGCGTAACCGCTCCACAGCAATTAATGCATCTTACTTTCTGCATTACCAATGCATTCACCCGATTATTCTTGCTTCTAAACCAAAACATTAGCAGCGTCATAACAGCACTAAAGCCTCACCACAATATGCCATTATGGGTCTACCTACACTAGGACCAGCAAGAGAACTTCGGAGTGTTCAAGCAGCGACTGTAGCAATTAGGGTTTCGGGCTTATGGTCTAGGCTTAGCGATTTTAGATCGAGTAATTCATGGACATCGTCCCTATTGCGGTCTTCAATCAGGTGGTGATGGCTCGGCACCACCTTTGCTAAAAGACACTTAAGAGACAATGATGCTGAGTGGACAAACATCTGGCAATAGCAGTATGCGTGGTGAATGCAGCATATGATATTACAAACTCCATCCCGATATCACGTGCATCAGGATGTCAGATGTTTACAGGGATTGCAGTAGATGCTCCATTCAAGGAAGAGGCTTTTCGTACTGTGAGCCAACAACAGCGACATGTACGTGAGGACATAGCACGCCGCATCCGCTACTTCAGTGCCTTTTTGCCCCGTTGTAGCAGCGGTCTATTAGAACAACATCTACATCATTTAGCGGGATTTTCTGTGGAAACTAGCGCAGCGCCCTGTTGAGCCCCGGCTATATAGTCCCGGACTAGCGTTGTGCGCATGCTCCTGCCTCTATATTCACATCAGCCCAAGTCTATTGCTATTTCTAGGCCCAGATGAAACTTATGTGGGGTTTATAATGTGAATATATGTGGGTCGACATGTGGCCATGGGATTTATACGGGCTGTGGGACTGCGATGCCAGAACACCCAAGAAGTATCCGAGTTCAATTTAACTGCTGCACTCTTCCAAGTGCTGCGGGGAAAAGTAAGCAGTTTTTATCAAACGCATAGAAAGCTGAGGCCTTGAGAATGCAGAAGATTGACAAACCACCCACAAACCGTTAAGCTGCTCAAAATTGTACATTCATAAGTTAACACGCTTTACAGCTGCTCTAGTTGTGTAGGTGTGTGCAAGAATTCTTTAGTATTCTCAAAAGGATCCCCTGAATTTTCTGTGTGAGAAGATGTGCACTCCTGCCGAATAGCCTTTTACATAATATTTTGAACAGCATGAGTTACACCTTGAGGAGCAGATATGGGTGTGTCGACACGAGAGTCGAGAACTAAACGTTTACTTGCGGGATTCGTGTACGTGGGTGCATTACTTAAACGGCTGAAGTGGCAACGCTTGCTCTAGCGGCTGAGGCGTTGGACTAAGCCGTTGGAATTTTGTTGTCGTGTGTGCTGCATAGACTCTGACGGTTCCGCCTGCGACAACTGAAACGGACAGGTACCCGTGCTTGCTAACTAACATCCTACTACGATTGTGAAGATTTATCGTCTTATTGGTCTCGGGGCTTGAGATGCGCCTGTGTCTCTTTTTCATGGATTGTACCGCTTTGTTTTCACAATGAAAACTGGACACTAAGTCTCGGCTGGTGTCTTGGGCCACAGATTTCCGTATCCCTCCCTTGTGGAGATGGCGCTGGGGGGTCACGTGAAGAGGGCTGAGGCGGCAGAAAGCCAACAGGCTCATATGACAGTTGCGAACGAAACAGAAGTCAGCGATTCCAGCCACCAAAACAGCAAGACCTGTGGCAGCGACTGTAATGGTAGCTCTGAACCCGAGAGCACTGCTCGCTGCACTCCTGCATGTCCTACAAACGGCACTTTGCCCAACAGGGGTAAAGCTGAGGGTGGCTGGAGCCCATGTGCAAATGCCAGCAACAGCAACACGGGTGGTGGTAGTGCAGTAGTAGATACAAGCTGCAAAAGGGACCTAGAACAGTCACCTACAGGAGAAGTCAGGTCCACCTCCGAGTCCCCACAAGGGGCTACCACAGGTACACCATGCTGGGGACGTCCTACGCTGATCAGACTTGCAAGTATATCTCAAAAGCTTTAGTTCTTGTTCTCCACTAGCCTTCTCCTTAAGCGAACATCACTGCTGCAATGTTGGTTCTTCCAAACAAGCGGCTTAGTGCCCACTTGGCCTCACGCACGCAAAGCTGGTGACGTGCACATGCGCATTGCGCGTAGGCTGGAACGGTGTGACTGTCTCTATTGTCTTGGGTCCACTCGAGGAAATCGCAAGCAATAGACGGTGAGACAGCCAGTGCTGGCAAAGGAGTTCCAGTGGCCATCCTTTTGTCAAGAAGCCCCCAGTGCTGTGCAGCCCCCATGAGTGCGTTAACGCTTCAGCCTTCAAAAGACAGCGGACATTTGTGTCGTTGGTTGGGGTTTGGCGGGAAGATTGCTGCTAGGGAAGTTTGACTCCGGCACGAATACTTCCGGGGATGCAGAGGGCCAAAAGTCCGCCTTGGATACCTCCACCGTTAGCTCACCTCATTCACCCTCCCCTGCTGGGGTCCTTGGAGAAGAAGGAAAGAACTGCCTGCTTAGCAGTGTTCTCAAGCCGGGAGGCACAACCGTTGTGGAGAGTCTCAAGTATGGCTAAACCGACGTAACAGTCAAACAGGAGAGGGTTTAATGCTAGAAGCCACTTTGACGGGCTAGGTGTGACCGACAGTCCAATTTTTGGGTGAAGAGACATAGTCAGTGCCAGGTAGCACTGGCGCGTATGTTCCTTAGTATTGGGATTGTAAGCTTTGATGGCTGCAGCCTCGTATAACAATTGCATGGAACTTCTCAGCATTAGTTTTCAAAACAAGTTCGCATGCACCCAACAGATTTGCTCGTTCGAAGGAAGAAACCAAGGGGACAAAACCCCTGGTCCGTTCTTGGCTCTTCCTGCTTGCTGCTTCTCCCAGTGCCTCGAGATGCGTTTCCTTATATACGCCAGCTTGTAACCCTTTTTTGAAACTGCCTCTCTGTTCGCAGATATTTGGGTCACATACCGAGTAAGGCCAAAGTAAAGTAAGGAGCTTTGCATAGTATGCTGAGTGCAGAGTGCCTCCTTAAGCTGCATACAGATAGGGACTTGCTTCATAATTGCTTATTTCGTTTGGTGTGGTTTTATGGGAGTGGCTGTGCAGGTACCGGCGGTTGATAGCTACAGCTGCGGCAAGGCGTGGTTGGTCTCAATTATCCCCAAAAGGGGTCGACCGTAAGAAAAATCTTTGCAGCAGACCCTAAGAGACTCTCTGGCAACCCCACGAGTCAATCCACAACGTAGAATGCACGACGATAGCTGCTACGCAACGCCTGCATAGCTCCTGGAGAAGAGCAGCTACTGCATTTGCGACGATGCAGCGTGGGCAATTGCTTGTGTGTCTGTTGTTGTCAACCTTTTATACGAACGACAGGCACTGAAACGGACACAGAGGTCATGCCAGAGGAACAAGAAAAGACAGAGAAAGAGGCACAGGAGGAGGAAGCCAGCGCACCAGATGACATGTGCTTCATACACTGCTGAGGAAATACGGAAATGTAGGGTTTTTTGATGTTGACGGCGTACGGTTATTTTTGATTATTTGGGTGTTGACTTAAGCAGTGCTCGTGCATGGTAAGCTTCAAAGTCTACCCTGAGGGCGCACGCCTGCGTCAGATCATTATTGGCAACCTCAAGCCTTAGGGCGACTCTCTAGTGGCTTGGAGCTTGGGGTTAGCCCGGGATTCCTACCTAGCGAAACATATCCTTCATAGTTGCGAAGGATTGCAACTTTTACCGCTAAACTTCCCGGAATGATTGGCTATTCACGCCCTCTAGGCGGCGCTGTACGTCACTGTAGTTATGAACGCTGGTTAAGAACAGTGAGCTTGCTTTCTTTTTAAGGTTGAGTCAAAGCGAGCGTTTGGGTCAGAAAAGGCTGGGAAGTGTTGAAAATTGAGACTCTATCTTATCCTCTGCTCAGCATCTCAAATCCTTCCCTTACCTGTCCCCAAGTCGTCTCTATGTCCCTCCCCCTAACAACATATGGCGTTGCTGCGGTCCCAAAGGCATCGCAAACGCAAACGCAAAAGCCAGCAACCCCGGAGAAGCGGGGTGAGGGGCCCCTTGAAAGTCTGCGTTTCCGGAAGGCAATTGCTCCATTCACAATTCCAAAACAAAAGCACACCGTTCTTTTGTTGGCTCAATCAATCTTGACCTCCGTCGTTCTCCTTCGGCGAGCCCCTGAGACCGAAGGCGACAGCGTGAGATGAGGCGTGAGACAGCACCTGGGGAGTTCGACGAGAAAAGGGTGCATGCAGGGCGAAGGAGGCGTCATCCTTCAGTCCTAAGGTTGCGAATAATGGCCTCGATGGCCTCAGTGTCGGACGAGAGCTCATCTATCCGGCACTTGTAGAAGGACCTTATTTGGTCCAACAAAAACATTTCCTCGGGGCACACCAAATTCACTGCAATGCCGCGCAACCCGAAACGCCCTGTGCGACCGATCCTGTGCAAGTAGGTCTCGAAGTTGACGCAGACACCATCGGGAAAATCTATTCCGGAGGGGACGATCCTTTGCCCCCTCCGGTCCACGTGCTGCCCCTCCCAGGATTCCTCGAAGCCAGGGGGCCCCCCGAAAGGCACCCCAGGGCCCCCCGCGACGTCCGGCTGAGGCCCTCGGCCCCGGCCTGTGTAGTAAATCGGAAGGTCAAAGTTGACTACCAGAGTGACCTGTGGCACGTCTATGCCTCGCGAAAGGACGTCCGTGCATATCAAAACCTTTGTCTCCCCCCTTCTGAATTCTTTCATTATCCTGTCTCGAATTTCAATGGACAGCTTCTCGGGGCCCTGCGCCTGAGACCCTGCGCAGAGACGCAGGCGGCCAGACATGCACAGAAAGGAGGGGAAGTGACAACCTGAGGGATACAGGCCAAGCGGTGAGGTGTCGCCCCCCACAGTAAGCGTGCGAACGACGAGAGGCGTTGCTGCCCCCACACGACAGCACACCGATCGACAGAGGAACGGACAAAAGAGATGCCAGCCAACGGACAGAGAAGGCGGAGCACTCGGAGGATCAATGGCGCAGGCAATGTGATCGAGCGCTCTCGTCCTCCTCTGTGGCTTCGCCCCCGTCTCTCAGGCCTTCCTCGTTTAGGGCGACCCGCCCGTCCGAGGTTCTGTCTTACCGCAGATTAGAGAAACGGAGAACGAGAGCTCCTTCTGAAGCTTGAGCGCCAGGAAGAAGGCGAGCCGTCTACTGTTGACAAAGATGACGCTTTGGCCGACAGCGAGCGCACCGTAGAGGGTCTTGAGGTGCTCATACTTGTGTTTGAACACTCGCATCACGAGCTCCCTGTCCACGGGAGCACCAGGGCGCTGCAGATGCTGCGGAAGCATCAAGTACGACGGGGCCTCTAACTCGAGGGGGTCTCCTCCAGGGGGGCCTCCCGGTGCCTCTGGAGGCGGCAGGCGGGGGTCTGCCACCATGTAGAACTGCTGGATGCACGAGAGCGTTAGCTCCTCCCTCTTCAGCTGTACATACACAGATCCAGCAGGGTGAAACGCGGACCGCTTTTCGCAAAAACCCACACAAGAAGACGCCCTCCGCCACACATCCTACGCACAGGTCGGCCGATCTTCGCAGGTGCTGCACGCGCGGCGAGTCTAAGCAGGGAACGTCGCTGCTGGCGCCACAGCTAGAGCACACACATGCGGGGTCCTTTGCATACCGTGATTTTGTTGGCGCGAGGAATGAGCTTCTCGGCAAACTGGCGGACGGTGTCGGAGTACGTCGCGGAGAAAAGCAGAATTTGAAGGTCGTTGGGCAGGAAGCGGCGAATCTGCTGCACCTGCAGGCAAAGGGGTAGGGCAGACACGTTCGACGGAGAAGCATGCAAACACACCACTGACCGCGCTGCTGCCGTTGCAGCCGCCAGGCGCCAGATGGTCCTGCCAACAAAAAATCATTCGCGCGCTTCCCCCGTGCCATAAAAGCCTTGCCAACTCCGGCATGCCAGCAGCCGCAGCAGCTACACCGCTTCAAGTGCAAAAGCAGCACCTGCGGGGCCATGTTGTTCGCGAAGTTGATGAGTTCGTCCGCCTCATCAAGAACGAACATCCGCACCATGCTCGCGGGGAAGCGCCGCTTCTTCAACAGTTCCATCGACTTTCCTGGATGTTGATGCGCAAACAATCACCGAGAAAACACACGCAACTGCAGCCTCCCTGAAATCAGCGGGCAGAGCACCAATCCCCCGTAGCATGGCACAATCAGGCTTCTTCGACAGCCGCAGCACTATACGTCTGGCGTCTGAGGGGTCCAGAGCCATGGATGCAGCCAGAAAGGCTGCTGAAGCAGAGGCTCTAGGCAGACCTGAGAGGCTCTCAGAGCAGTGGCAGAAGCGTCTCCCCTGCGGCTCTCTGTTCACCATGAAAGAAGCAAAAGGACAAGCAGAAGCAGCAGCAGCAGCATACCGTACCGTACCTGGTGTGCCGACAACGATTTGCTGCCGTACGTCTGGGGAGGTATTCGAGCTGAATACAACTTCTCTGCCCTCCGCGTTCGGCGAAAAAAGGCTGCTCTCATCCGCTGTCGCACCATCGGGGAATTCGCTGACGCCTGCAGGAACACCTCGAAAAAAAGGCCGATGCGAATGCGACAGCGCACACCTCAGCGGCGCCAGCACCCCAAAAGAAGCCTTAATAACAACTGCAAAGATAGTACCACGCAGCAGCAGCAGCAGCAGCGTCTTTACCGGGGCGTGACTGCGGGACGGCCAGGAAAATTTGCAACCTCGTGAAACGAGCTAAGCTCTTCAGCACGAAGACTGTCTGCTGCGCTAGCTCGCGGGTAGGGCAGAGGCAGAGCGCCTTTGATGCGCAGATGATGCACACACAAGGAAACGGGCAGTAACGACGAAAGGCCAGCTGCGCCACCACGCGAACAGACGAAAAAAAGAGGCACCAACAGAAGCCCACACCAGCCGCACGCAACCCGCACCAAGACGGCACTGCCGCAAAACGGCGAGGCGCACCGAAAGCGCACAAGAAAAAAGACGAAACGTTCGCAACAGCCCTCGCAGCAACAGCGGCAGCAGCATTTGCTGCAACAGCAGCAGCAGCATTTGCAGCAACAGTAACAGCAGCATTTGCAGCAACAGCAGCAGCAGCATTTGCAGCAACAGCAGCAGCAGCATTTGCAGCAACAGCAACAGCCCTCGCAGCAACAGCAACAGCAGCAGCATTTGCAGCATTACCTGTGGCTGCGGGATGTCGGGGTTGGCGCAAAAGAGCATCGAGAGAGCGAAGGTGGCCGTTTTGCCGCTGCCGTTTTGGGCCTAAAGCAAATCCAGCAGCCGGAGGGAAAGAAAGACAAGGGCAGGCAGGACCTATGGGGGGCAGACGAAGTAACACCACGGAGACGCGTGGCAGTCGAACTGAGAAACTGTGCAGGAAACGTCAGCTTGCGTCAGACGCAGAGGCTCAGAAACAGCCGAAATTTTTTCGTGTTGATGCATGCACGAAGGCTGATGCATTCCGCATACCACCCGCAGGCAAAGGACTCACGCAAGAAGACAGACACAAGTTGCCATGCAGCCGCCAGTTAAGCCGCAAAACAGATGCACAGCTACTCACAGCGCAAGCGACAGCAGTGGCCCCTGCGCTTTCAGAATAAAAGACTGACGCCTCCATTTCCCCTCAATTGATGTTATTACCCCGACACGCACGCATGCACGCCTGCATTCAGATTCTGGACGTCTATTTGTAGACTGATTCACATATTCTTGTGAATATATATGCGTGCGGGCACATGTACACACACTCCGGGGTGCCGAAACATCCCCATAGTTCCAGTAGACAGCCACATAGGCAGGCGGCTTGAGGAACCGCTCAGAGGCTCTCAGTTTACGCACCCTCCGTCTGCACTGATGTGAAGGCGGGCAAAAATCAATGTCTGAACGCACTTCCAGAGGCGGGATGCCGGCGCATGCAAGGCTCCCCAAAGCCTGTAGTTCCCTGACCCTTAAACGCATAGACGCACGCGGAAGAAGTGGGCTATACCTGAGCAATGAGGTTCTCCCTGTGATTGAGCACCAGGGGCAGCGCAGCCGCTTGTATCTTGGAGGGCGCCTTGAAGCCTAGAGCCTCGACTGCCAGCAGCAGTTCTTTCGACAGTTTTAAGTCCGTCCTGCGGCAAAGCGCCAACGCAGCAATGCAGCACGCGGCAGAAGCCCTTGCTCTCCCGCACATCCTTAGAAAAGCGGTCCACAGCAAACCCGCTGAGGAGAAGAGAGGCGGCTGTTTGTGCGCAGAAGGCGTGCATGCACTCTGTCTACCGCACGGACTGTGGCATCGACCTAGGAATGCTGCCTACGCGCTGTCTGAGCATTCAGTGGTGAAAGCAAGTATCATCAGCAAGGACGATACAGGCAGGCGCTGTTAACGTGCTGCCTTTTGGCGTTCAAAAGACTCGAGAAAAAAGAGGCACAATCCTGTTTGCGGGAGGGACGTTTGCGGGGCAGCAAGGTAGACAAACACACCATGACTTCGCAGAAACAAGAGGAGAAGCGTCTGGCTCTGCCCTTTGGATCAGCAAATGGGAGCCGCCATCCACCCTGTCTAGATGTGCTCGCCCCGCTGCTGCAGCATCACTGCTGCTGGCTTCTGCCGAGGCTGCAAGCTGCGAGTTGACAGTATTCCTGCCCATGTCAGAGACGGGCACGGCGTTCGAGGGAGCTAGCGCCGATGCGGCTAGACTGCTCGAAGCATCATCCTCTTCATCCTCGTGAGCTACCTCCTCGGTCGCTCCGTCCGCCACGCCTGCTCCTGCTGCCCCCTGATTTCCACTCCTGCTGGGATTGCTGCTGCTGCTACCAGCGGGAAGGTTAACCTTCAACGATTCCAACAGGCCCTGCAGCTGCTCCAGGGAAGCCCCTCCCGCCTTCAGGCTTTCGAGCAGCCGCGCTGCCTCCTCCGAAGTCACTGGCATCTTGCTCTTGCTGCTACAGCTGCAGGCTCTGGCTGGAGGGTCCTGAGGGGCATGGGGAAGTGTTCGCTTTCTTGCACAAAAGCTGCGGCGGCCTGAGCAGCCCGCGCGCGCTGTAGCCGCTGCAATTACCGCAGTCGCAGCCACAGGGTGGAGGAAGGAGATCCAGGGGAGTTGATCACGCAACGGGAATCCTCTACACCTGTCTGCCGGGCTTAACCTCTTCAAAATCCAACAAATACGAGACAACACTTCCCGTTGTTCTTTTCCGTGGCAGCGAAGCCCCGCGTGATCGCCACAGGCGCTGCAGCGGAGAGCGCCTTGGCAGCGCCAACCACAACATGCAGCCCCTGGTCACAGCCGCAACTGCACTACTGGCAACACCCTATGCGGCCTCCAAACATTTATATTTTTTGCCTTATTCTGTTCATGTGCTTTATTTTCTTTGCGCGGATCGCAGCAGCAACCGCCTTTCTCGCCGCAGGCCCCCGGATCTGCACACGTGTCTTTGTGCCATCCACTCTCAGCGGGCTCAGCAGCGTTTGCGCGCGCCTATGGGTTTGATTTGACGGCAGTAGCAGCAGCAACTGCCGAAAAGCAGCATGGTCAGCACTCTTAACGGGGTAGAGCGCACGCAGTATTAGACCAGCAGCAGCAGCGGCTCCTCTCGGCAAGGGCTCAGCAGCAGCGGTGTCTGCTGCCTATTGCCGTGCAGATGAGAGAGCATCTCAGCTCACTACTGATGCATGCACCCTTTTTGATGCTGCTGCAACGACCGCACCAGGAAGCGCTGCCCTGCATTTCTTGCTTCCCGCGTTATTGGCAGGCTACGCTGTAGCACTGCCGCTGGTGCTGCTGCGTCTGTATGGCCCCCTCAGGCCCTGCAGCAGCAACGGCAGCTGCTTGCTGCCATGTCAGACATAAATCTAGAGAGGGAGTTGCTGCTGCGACAGCAGCGCATTCAGCAGCGCCGCCTAGCGCAGTGCAGACTGCAGACGGAGCAGCAGTCGCAGCAGCAGGATCTGCGAGGACAGCCGCATCGGCTCTTGAATGGGGATGGAGCCCTCTTGAGTGAAGATCGCGCCTTTTCTCTCAATACACCCAGAGAGGCGCTTCAAGAGCTCTTACTGCAGGAGCAGAGCCATCACGCCGAGCGGCAGCAGCAGCATGACCGCTTGCTGCGATCCAGCTGCAGCGATGGCGACCTGAGTGTCTCGGCTGCCACAGCAGCAGCGGTGCACGCTGCTGTAGCCGTTGCTGCGCGTTTTTCCTACACTGAGCGGCTCTGTTACCGTAGAAGGAGCAGCAGCAGCAGCAGCAGCGGCAGCGGCAGCAGCAGCAGCGCGCGAGCGTTTCTTGTCGGCAGAAACTCTCCCGTTGCAGCAGCAGCTGCGGCTGCGGCAGCTGCTGCAACAGCTGCAGCCTTCCAGGCATCGGAGCAGCAGCCATTGCGCCTCCAGAGCCCAGGCAACAGAAAAAGTTCCCCTCTTCCTGATTCAGTCTCGCCGCAGAGAATCTCGTCCTGTTGGAAACATGCGCAGGCTGAAGACGCTTTGAGCAGCCGTCTTTGTGGGAAGGAAGCCGCGTCTGCGGCATATGCAGCGGCCGCTGGCGCGTCAGGCGGCTCTCGCGCTACTGCTGCTGGCGAAGCAGCTGCGTTGTTACAAGCAGCAACAACAAGCGGAGGGTCTGCCTGCAGCTCTGCAAGGGGGGAGGGGACGCCAGATAGCACCTCAGCAGGAGACATGCCAAGGCTGCGCTTCCATCTGCCTCCCTTGCCATGCGCGCTGCAAGCGACGCCGATAGCGGCAGAAGGGGCTGCAGAGGCCGCATGCAGGCAGTTGCACTTGGAAACAAGCGCTTCAGGCGTCCCCTCCTCAGCTGCCACGCCTGTTCCTCCAGGAGGGGCAGGAGCAGGAGCAGGAGGAAGAAGCGTGGGAGCAGCAGCTGCAGATGCATTCGTAGCGGAGGCTGAAGCGAAAGCCGAACTGACTGCTGCCGGTTCTGCTGCAGCGGCGACTGCCCCCCCTCCGAGTGAGCAGCAGCTGCTCGAGCCGTACGGCGATGAGCCGCCAAGATCGGGAGGCTGGGAAGAGCAGACAGCAGCAGCTAACACCAGTCAACGTGACTGCGAGAGCAGCAACAGAAGCTGTGTTTCTCTTGACCTTCTAGAGGCAAGCCGCCTGCCTCTTGCTGGTGCTGCTGCTGCTGCTGCTCTGGCGGTGTCTAAGGATACACACGCCTCTGCGCTGCAGTTCGAGCAGCAAGGCCTCTTCAGCGGGAGGAGCAGCAGCAGCGGCAGGCAGCGTCGACTGCAGCTCGACGCCTCCTCCGAGGCTGCCTTCCCTTCTCCGGCAGCTGCGGAGAATGGCAGCTTTTGCTCCTCCGGATACAGCAACACGCGAGCCGCGGCTCTGTGGAGTCTGCATGCTGGCCGCAAAAACAGCATCAAGGCATTCGACTACGGCGCCCTCCGCAGCAGCATCCGCAACATCCGAGAGAGCTTCACCGTCTTTCCCGCGGCTGCTGCTGCGGCGGCAGCAGCAGCTGCAGCAGCAGCAGCCGCAGCAGCTGCCCCGTCACCCCCGGCACCTGCGCAAGGGGGGGGCTGCAGCGGCAGCAGCAGCAGCAAGCAGCAGCAGAAGCCTCAGACGGACTCTGTGGCATCAACGGCCTGTGGATGCAGCAGCAGCAGAAGCCTCTCGACTCTCGGAGCCGTCACAGGTCTTGCGGCTGCAGACGGCGGCGGCAGCAGCAAGGCTTACACTTCCCTCCCAGCTGCTTCACCCTCTGGCAGCAGCAGTTTCCCCCATCAGACTCCACAGAGTCATCTGCAGCAGCTCCAGCAGCGGCAGCAGCTGCAGGATGGTGGACGACCCGCTGCACATAAAGCTCCATCGGAGGAGCGCATGCAACATCCAGAGCACCAGCGGCAGCAGCTCGAGACGCAGGCTGCCCGCGAGGAGCTTGCGCAGCACAAGCTGCTGCTGCTGCAGCAGGAGATGCTGCAGCAGCAGCAGCGCCAGCAGCATGAAGAGGCCCTTGCGGTGAGTGCACCGGGATGCGGCGTCTTTGGCATGGCGTTGCTACATCGGCTCGTAGCCTTTCGCTTCGTTCAAGCCGCGTGTCGGGAGTGCGGGGGGACTGCTTTGTTTGTAGTGCTTCCGTGTGTCTGCGTGGGATTGCGCATGCTGCTGCTGCGTCTGCAGGCACGCACTGCCGAGGTGCAGGCCCTAAGGGCTGACCTGGCTGTGCTGCAGCAGCGGGAAGTGGAGAGCCGCAACGAGGCTCTGACATCACGCCGCGAGCAGTTGCTGCTGCAAGAGCGGCTGCAGCAGCAGCAGCAGTTGCTGCTGCAGGAGCAGAAGCGCATCGACGCGCTAGAGGGGCAGCTGAGGGAGAAGGAACGGCGGCTGCAGCAGCAGCAGCAGCAGCTCCAGCAGCAGCAGCAGGAGCTGCAGCAGCAGCAAGACATGTTCGATAACTACCTCCTGGAGCAGACGAATGCTGCTGCGTCTGCGGCTAGGAGAATTTGTGTCAGAGACTCCCAAGGCCTCTGGGCTTCACGCTGCGGTTGCGATAGGTGTAGGTGTGTGTCGGAAGAGCAGAAACACGCGACAGCAGAAGGAGCCGCTGCCGCTGATGATGCGTTGATCTCCGAGGCTGCACACAGCGAGCCTTTGCCGTTTCTTGCGAACGTAGGCAGCAGCAGCGACAGCAGTTGCTTTGCAACTCCTGCTCGGCACCAGCAGCGATCGCAGCAAGCGGATGCGTGCTGCAGGGGCAGACCGACGGGGTGTCAGGAGCCTCAGTTGGCACTGCAGCCGTCGCGACAGCCGCTTCAGCTGGGCATGATCGCTGCTCCCCAGACGCCTCGGCAGTCTCCGCAGCACTGTGAGGTAGAGGACGAGCAGCTTGGCCTCGAGGGCGTCTGTCGCAAGCTGCAGGAGTATCGCCTGCAGCAGCAGCAGCAGCGAGAGCAGCGATATCGGCAGCAGCAGCGAGGCCTTCGAGCTCTCTCTGCTGCTGCTGCAGGCAGCTCTGCTGCTGGGTGGTCTCCCTCACTGCATGAGGGTGTTGTTCCTCGCACGAAAGCAGCAAAGGCAGCGGATGCTCACGCAGCAGCGGCGAGAACAAGCGGTGCAGCTCGGTGTGAACTCCCTTCAAGACTTCTCGGCGGGACTGCCGTGCAGCAGCAGCAGCAACAGCAGCAGCAGCAGCAGCAACAGCAGCAGCAACAGCAGCAGCAACAACAGCAGCAGGAAGACTCCGGGGCATGTGGCGTGAAGCGTGCCGCTCAGCTGAAGCTGTGTGACTTTGGCGTGCCTAGAAGGGCTGAGGCAAAGGCGAGGGGTGCTGTGCAGCCGCTGCAGGTAGAGCGGGAGCGGTGGAACGCTTCAGAAGACAGCAGACGGAAGTTGCCGGGCGCTGCTGCTGCTGCTGCTTCTCCTGCTTCTGCGGATAGCCGCATGCCGCTGCTGCTGCTTGTAGCGTCGGACAGTGACGTAGATGAGGCTGAAGAGCAGCAAGAGCTGCTGCCTGCTCAGAGCAAGGCGAATGCCGCTGCCACGGCTGCAGCTGCTCTGTCTCCTGCAAACACTCTCCTATCTAGGCCTCGCTGTCTGCTGCTCTCCTCGGATGACGACGAAGACATTACGACCGCCGAGTCTGCTGTATCACGCCAGCAACAACAGCAGCAGCAGCGAAAGAGAACAAGTAAATCCCTCCAGCGAAAACCGTCCACCGAGACGGCAACAGACAACAGTTTCAGCGACGAGCCAGTAGGCCCTAAGGGGGGGGCAGCAGCTGCACCCCTTGCTGCTGTGCAGAGACGCTTTTACTCAACGCTGGATAGGCTGCGTGCAGAGTACCGTCTCTCCCGCCAGTTTCTGCGGTAGCAGGAGCAGAAGCAGCAGCAGCAGCATGGGCAGCACCAGTGAGTGTTGCAGCTGCCTGCGCTAGTTAGCAGGCAAGCGGGCTCAGCGGCACTGCACTGGGGCATTCTCTAAGGCAGCGATAGAAGGCAGCACGCATCGTCAGCTGCATAGGAGCAGAAACACCAACAATGTGGATTTGCAGCTGTTGCACTTGAAATATCCCGTGTCAATATGCTGCAAATGGTTTCTTTCTGTCTGCAAAGTGCTTTCCGCACAAGGGGGAATCACCATAGTTTGCTTTAGGTGAAGCGTGAGTTGTGCATACTTTTGATCGCTTCTGAAAGGAGGCGAAGAAGAGACGCCAGACCTTCCTTTGCTGGTGCCCACTGTGTAACGCCGACGCAGGAAAGTATTTAGGCCTCTCTCGTAGCTAGCTGCACAGAAGCGCAGCTAGCAATTAAGAGTTGCGAGCATCTGGCGAGAGCATGTTTTGACGAGCAAAAGCCACAGGTGCGCCGCTCAGGCTTCTCGCTTGGTTTGCCGTCACCTCGATAGGGAACCGGCATATCTAGAGCAAGCCGAGTTTCGCGAAAGGTTGAAGGAGAACAGGGGTAACAAATGCACGCAGTTGAGTGATTCAGCCTGATTCAGAGGCATCACAGCGGTTCTCAGCATGCAAGACAACGGCGGAAATTGCCTAGGGCGACGCGCAGGCAGCCTTGACGCCTGGGTCTACCGCACTAAGTCGAGCTTGTTACATTTGTTGAGAGGACCTATATACAGGAGAAAGTCTAGACAAATACATGTGGAATGCTGGTTCCATAGATGTCCCCGAGTCATTCATTGGGAGAAGCGTAAGTAGCTGCCATTGCGGCCGGTGGAATGTAACTTGCATCCCTGAGAAGCGACGGTTACAGCGATAAGGAGCGATTTCACGCTGGCGAAAACATGTAAGGACAAGTGAGAGGATGTCTGTGGGACCTGGAGAAGTGTGTCTAACTAGGGGCAGGAAGAAAGGCGTGTGAAATACGTGGGATACTGAACCCGTAGCGACACAATGGTGGAGCATCGGGGCGCACTGATCGGGCAAGTATCTTAAACAAGTCCAAAGGCAGGATGGAATGCAAGTCTGACGCCGGAAGGATTCGAGTGCGTATTTCGGAAAAGCACCCCCTCGACACGGGGGTGTGCCTGCCTGTGATAACGGTTCCCCCGTTCTGCTTAGACCCTCTGGGTGGCAAGTCTTGAGCCTTGGAATGAGATAGTTGGCATTTGCCTTAAGCACATGTTCAGTGTCTGTGTAGCGAGATTTCCCTGCGAGGCGACGCTCAAAGATTCTGATGCCACACGCCACAGAACGGCAAACGCTGCGCGCCATGTCGAGGGGCTGCTCTCGGCGAGGCCGAAGAAGGCGCGCTTTCAATTTTGAACGCTGCACACTAACAAAGGGAATAATTTTTGCCCTTTGCAATTCTCAGTGTGCAGCAGTCCAGACACACTGCCGTGTGACGTGCGTACAGTGTGCACAGGGCCTAGTCCAGGGAGACGCACGTCTCCCCACTCAGCCCCACCGACGTTGCGGAAAGGCCCGTTGTGGTCGGTTTCGCTATGTTGGCAAGCTGCATGCAGGTTTGGGGGCTCAGAGTCGGCGTTCGAGAAGCAGAGTGCAGCTAGCGACGGGCACTCTGTACACACAAGGGGCGAGGCAGCCTAGCGAACCAGTTGGCGAGGGTGATGTCTCAGTGCACGGGGTTGTTTTGTCACTACGAACCTAACACTGCTTTGCAGAATGTCTAGTTATAACATGGCTAGGGGAGAGACCCCGGCCGCCCTCCAGCAGTGTAGGCAGACTATGAGAGGCGTGTTGCCCTCCACATGCGAGCCCTAGCAGCTGCTTGGAAGCACAAGGGTTAAGCAGCGGTAGCTGATGCGGCGATACATTGCTAGCTACGGTTGTTACACATGCAGACAAGCCAAGAGTGTTGGCTGTAGTTGCATGTGCGTCTGTTGTTTTAGGAGCTGCTCTCCTCAACCTGCAGCCGTGCCCCTGCGATGGTGCTGTTCTTTTGTTTCCCCAGCTGCTTCTCCCCGCAGCAGCAGCGGTCGCCGAACCAGTGGACAAATAGATAAAATTCTAGTCGGTTCGTACTCCTGCTCGGCAGCTCCTCTACTTCTGCTGCTGTTTGCAGCGGATCGGACTGTCTTCCGTTTTTTAAGGGCATTTTATGTTTCCCAACAAAGCCAGTAGAGTGGCAGCGGCTGTCAGCGCGCTTGCAGCGATGCTCCAGCAGCACGCATTTACGGGAGGTGAAGACGACTCGGGAATCAGCAAGCGTGACAGCAGGCAAAGACGGTGTGTATCTCTCTCCTAGGCTGCCAGACGAGAGCACCACCCTACGAATGCCCCCTCTAGGCACCGCCCCTGGAATGCGCTAACGCGCCTCTGCTGTCGGGACCAAGCAATCTGCGCAGGCGGCAGCGTGAAGCATCATGACGCTGCCGAGCAGCAGCTCACGAGGCGTGCGACAGCAGCAGCACCAGCAGCACCAGCAGCACGGGCAGCAGCCGAGTCGCAAGCAGCACGAAACGCAGCTTCTGCGCTTCGTGCTGCGGAGCAGTAGGCGCGAAGGAATCAACTGCCCTTTTCTTGACAGCAGCAGAAAGTGCAGGGGCGCTACCTTCCTTGCAGCGAACGTCCTTATTGGACAAGGTAGTAGTTGCTGCTGCTTTTCTACGCCCCCCGTGGAAGGAGGCACTGGACGCCGCTGTCGTCCTCAGCAGCAACACCAATATCTGCAGCTTCATCAGCAGCAGCAGCATCATCAACATCAGCAGTAGTGTGAAGATACAGTCCTCGGCTCCGTGTGCCCTAGTAAAGGTAGAACCGGGGATGGCAAACAGCATCAGGACAGCGAGAAGAGCAGCCTAGCTCTCTCTCGAGCGTGATTCGCAGCGCTAATCAACACAGCTTCATGAAGGACGTTTCAGTTTACATGTTTCCGCAGTCTGCGCAGCTGCCGCTGCCACGCCAGCAGCACCAAGACGAGCGACTGCAGATGCACGCGCGGCGGCATCCGTAGCTTCAGGAGCAGCTACCCTGGCAGCAGCTGATTCCAGGCATTTCCCTCTGCAGGCCCTCGAGCGGCTCTGTGGCTGCCTTCCGCAAGCAGAACATTTGGAAATGTTTAGTCTCGTGCTGACGCACATGCACCCTGAGCTGGAGTCGGCTGCAAGCGTTGCTGCCGCTCACAGCAGGTAAGAGAGCGGCAGCAGGGGAGACCCTGAAACAGCAGGGCAGTGGGTTGTTCGAAGACGAGTTGCAGCGGAATCGGGCGCCTTGTTGTTTGCCGCCCTGTGCAGCAGCAGTGGCAGTGGTGGTGGTGGTGTTAGTAGTAGTAGTAGTAGTAGTAGGAGTAGTAGTAGTAGTAGTAGCAGCAGCAGTAGTAGTAGTAGTAGTAGGATGAGGATGAGGAGTAGGAGTAGTAGTAGTAGGAGTAGGAGTAGGAGTAGTAGTAGTAGCAGCACTAGTAGTAGTAGAAGTAGGAGTAG